GAATGTAAAGCTCATAAATGCCACCAAATATAAGCAAATGATGCAACTAATCCAAAATAACAGAACGCTGTACAAGTAAAAACATGTTCTAAACAAAGAATATTAATTATAATAAAGCTTTGACTTGTTAACTTCTAATACGTTTATGAAATGAGGTATCTACTGGCAGGATATCTAAAAACATCATAAACCAGTTTATGCCTTTAGGCTCCATTTACATATATGCATTTTGCGTTTGATGCTTTCTCCAGTGCTTTTTGCAGTTTGTTTTGTGTTTTTCTACACACGTTTTTGATGAGTTTTGCATTTTGTTCAGCTTTTTTTTTTTTGTTAAAGTGGAATTTTTTTTTTTGTTGCTGGATAGAACAAAAATGCAAAACGCAAAACATGGCAAAACCGCACTACCATGCATTTCAGCTGCTTCTCCATTGAACTCAAATGTAGCAAAATCGCTGCTTTTTACTTTTAAAAAAGTCCCTGACCCTTTCCAAAAACGCAGCAGCTTAAAAATGCATAGATGTGAACATTTGCCATAGGAAACCATGTTAAATGGACTGTAGTGCGTTTCTGCAAAAAGCACTAAAAAACGCATTGCTGTGAACGGAGCCTTAATCTACCTTCTCTGGATAATGAATTCAATAGTAATGGTCCACAAACACTCATACTTTGGGTTTTAGCCTATTTTAATGGTGTGTTCCAGGCTAAATTAACATTTACTTGTTGCTTCTTAGCACCTCCCCTGTTTCACTATGGGCATTTTCAGATTTTACTGTCAGAGCCTCCTACAGATGAAAACCTGTTGAGTCAACCCAGCAATTTAGGCATAATTGTTTTTTTTGCGTGGCTATTGGAGCTAAGAAACTTATTAACAAATGTAAGCATTGGTCCCCTTATTCCTGAACAAGGTTGTCACTGGCTAAATACAAATATTTATCTTATATCAGTTACTTTTAGCATGATATCAGGAATGAATAAAGAACATAGAGATATCTTGGCAGGAAATTATTACTGGCTTTTTTTTTCCACAGTATTATGTTGCATTTTACTAAAGGGCTCTTAAGAAATGCCAAACACAAAATAAACATGCAGCATGCCATCCGATCTTAGAGTGTCTTACTCCAGATCATTCTACAAATCATACTGCTTGACCTCAGTGTGTGACCATTCTCTTTTGATTTTGTAACAGCTGGTGTCAAGGAGAGCAAGATGTTATACAGGTATAAAGAACCTGGTTAACAGTGCAAAAAGAGGCACAAATGAACAAAACACCCATCTCTGGCTATACTTTTAACCCTAAAGCCGGCCTTAGATGGAGCGTTTTTTTTTATCGATCGATTTCCCCATCAACACAGTCAGTGATGATGGAGAAATCCCTCCCGCAGAGCCATTGTGTTCTCCTGGTGTCAAGGAGAGCAAGATATTATACAGGCAGGGGCGGACTGACCATTTGGAAACTCGGGCACTGCCCGAGGGCCTGGGGTCAGTAGGGGGCCCCATGAGATGCCCCTGGTACCTTTTTCATAGGCTTTTTTGAGTTTGGGCAAGGACACAGGGGCCCCATGATCCCCTATTGCCCAGGGGCCCCATGAGTTGTCAGTCCACCCCTGTATACAGGTATAAAGAACCTGGTTAACAGTGCAAAAACAGACACAAGTGAACAAAACACCCATCTCTGGCTATACTTTTAACCCCAAAGCCGGCCTTGGAGCGATTTTCTTATCAATCGAATTCCCCATCAACACAGTCAGTAGTGATGGAGAAATCCCTCCTGCAGAGCTATTTTGTTCTCCTGGTGTCAAGGAGAGCAAGATATTATACAGGTATAAAGAACCAGGTTAACAGTGCAAAAACAGACACAAGTGTACAAAACATCCATCTCTGGCTATACTTTTAACCCTAAAGCCGGCCTTAGATGGAGCGATTTTCTTATCGATTGATTCCCCCATCAACACAGTCAGTGATGATGAAGAAATCCCTCCTGCAGAGCCATTGTGTTCTCCCGGCGGGGAAAGCCGCCCCCACCAGAAGAACACAGAGATTACTGCTAGTAGTTATAATAGCCGCTAGCAATAATCGCATGTAAAATCCAACAGTCTGGTTGTTCCCAAGTTGATCTATTGATCAATTTGAGTCCATTCAGCCTTCTAATACATGGTTCAAAGTTCGGAGATTCGACGTGTCTATAGCGGGCTTTAGCGATCTACAGAGTTGATCTTCATAAAGTGACCACACAACCTCTATAGACATTTGGTGCAGGGGCAGAAACCTCTATAGAGTATATGCAAAGGTAAAATCTTAATCTAGCCTGGAAAACACCTTTAAAAATGAAATGGAGGGATGAAAATATGGTTCATTCATTGGGAATAATCCCTTGGGCACTTTCCTGTGTCTTGGGTTCTTTTAGGGTAAACTCACTATAAAAGAGTGCAGCGGGTCATTTTATGGCACCAAAACACAACATTAATACTGAAAAAGGGTTGGCACTTGAGTAAGGTGGCAGTTTTGCTGATTGGCAGCTTTTAGTCTCTATATCTGGCATGTGCTGTTGAAGGAGTTGTCAAAGTGTCTCTGCTACATGCGCAAAATAAAGGCAGCTATTTTGTACTGAGTTCAAAATAATCAATATTCATTGATAACTTCCAAAATACCAAGGCAACTTCAGCCACGGAACTCTACGCTTCTGCTGTGTCGCTGGTCGCTAGTGAACTGTTTTGCTGTGTTCCCATACATATTAATTTAGATTGGTTTCAAACTGCAACTTGCTTGCGATTTCCTTGCAACTTCCCTGCGACTTTTGTGATTTAACATGGCAGTCTATGGCACTCAAGTTGTGCCAAAGTTGCAGAAAAGTTGTGCAGGAACCTTTTTTTTGTTGCCATGGCTTGAGTCACATTGATTGAGACAGCACCCACTGAAATGAATATGGTGTAACTTGTCATGCAACTTTATGTGCCGCAAGTTGCATGATAAGTTGCAGCAGTGTGAGCTAGGGCTTAATCTACGCAATATCTTTTACGTGCTGCTTTTATGCATTGTTAGTCTCAGAAATGAAGCAAAAAAATGAAAACAGAATAATAAACACCGTTTTATAACAATGAATGAAATGGAATAATAAAACTAAATAAAAATGATATTAATAAAAAAGTTTAGATTAAATGAAAAAAATTGATGAGGATGATTTACTAAAAGCAAATAGACTGTGCACTCTGCAAAGTGCAGTTTCACTCCACAAGTGCAGTTGCTCCAGACCTTAGTAAGCTTCGATTTGCAAAGAATACCCAATCACATGCAAGGAGAATGAAAAAAAAAGCATTTTTGTTTGCACATGATTGGATGATGGAAGTCAACAGCCTCGCTTTGCAAAAAATACCCAATCACATGCAAGGAAAATTAAAATAAAAGCATTTTTGTTTGCACATGATTGGATGATGGAAGTCAACAGCTTCGCTTTGCAAAGAATACCCAATCACATGCAAGGAGAATGAAGAAAAAGCATTTTTGTTCGCACATGATTGGATGATGGAAGTCAACAGCTTCGCTTTGCAAAGAATACCCAATCACATGCAAGGAGAATGAAAAAAAAGCATTTTTGGTTGCACATGATTGGATGATGGAAGTCAACAGCCTCCCTTTGCAAAGAATACCCAATCACATGCAAGGAGAATGAAAAAAAGCATTTTTGTTTGCACATGATTGGATGATGGAAGTCAGCAGAGCTTCCTCTCCTTTACTAAGCTCTGGAGCAACTGCACTTGCAAAGTGCACAATTTCTTTGCCTTTAGTAAATCAACCCCAATGTGAACATAACTTAATTGTTCATTTGCCAGAGAATGCCATAATTGTTTAAAACTCTAGAACACAACATTCTGGAACTTTTAGAAAAAAAACCCATTTCGTGGACTTTGATAGGTTAAATAGACAAAACGGTTATACACTGTGCACTTTGCGTCTGTTGTGGGAAATATAGCGATGGGTCAGTAAAATTCACCCCAGGCAATGGGTTACATCCTTGATATCCTGAGATGTTCCTGATCCAACTGTAATCAGCCAGATCAGTTGACTATATTCGGATGCTTACAGTAAGCTGGTCATAGACATAGGTTCGAATTTCAGCCAGTTCAGCAGGGATCGGCTGAGACTCAAACCCTGTACGGGCAGGCTGATTGTACCCAAGTTGATCCATCAAGTTGTGTACAACCAGCCTACCAGATTTTACATGCAATTATTGCTGGTGGCTACTACAGCCGCTAGCAGTAATCACTGTGTTCTCCTGGTGTTCCCCGGAAGAACACAATAGCTTCATGGGAGGTATTTACCCATGAACATTGACTGTAATCGAGTGATTTTCTTTCCTGCAGCCCATGGTTGCAGGAAATAAATTTGCTCTGTCTATGACCGGCTTTAGTGGCATCCTAAAGCTGGTTACAGATAGGCAGATATCATCTTTGACTAAGCCATCAGAGAGTGATAGTGCTCCTGCAACCCCCCTGGCCCGCTGCTCATTTGATAAATTACATTAGCAATCCCCCTCTTCCCGGGTGGACACTTTTTGTCTGTGTACCTGAAGAATCACAAGCCATTAGTGGTTAAGGAAAGAAGATACCTACTCTCTATGCAGCTTAAGGCCACTTAAATGGGAGAATCCGCAAAAGACCAAACAAAGGGAATAGTCCATATGGTGGACCCAACAGTAGCACTAGCAATTCATGTACGTCATTTTTTGAGGACTAATGATTATATTATTTCCGTTTTTCTATTAACTAAGACCACAATGCCAAGTCTCCTTTAGGGTATTATATGCCATTGTGACATAATACTAACCGTACTAAAAGCTGCCAAGTCTATTTACTGCCATATTAGACACAACATTGTTCAACAGTTTATACAGTAGCTCAGCTCACTGCAGACAAATACAACACACACTGTACTACAGCAAGTTTGTTCACTGATGCGCAGGATAGTTTTCCAGTCTTCAGATCTTCTATTGGTCACAGGAACCATCACTGAATGAAAGGCATCCTCTCCTTATTTTCAGTGTCCCCTTCATGGTCTTCTTCTTCCTCTCCTGCCTCACTGTTTTCGGTACTGTCATTGGCCATCTGCAACAATATAACAGGGCGATAAGAATTGCTGTGACGAGAGAGAGATATCATATTACCCCGGTACAAATCATTAGTAACACCTCATCTGGAATATGCAGTTCAGTTTTGGGCACCAATTCACAAAAAGAACATTGGGGAACTGGAGAAAGTACAGAGAAGGGCAACCAAACTGATAAGAGGCATGGAGGAGATCAGCTATGAGGAAAGATTACAGGAACTGAATTTATTCTCTCTTGAGAAGAAGAGATTAAGGGGGGATATGATCTCCATGTATAATACATAGGGGGGATATGATCTCCATGTATAATACATAAGGGGGGATATGATCTCCATGTATAATACATAAGGGGGATATGATCTCCATGTATAATACATAAGGGGGGATATGATCTCCATGTATAATACATAAGGGGGGATATGATCACCATGTATAATACATAAGGGGGGATATGATCTCCATGTATAATACATAAGGGGGGATATGATCATCATGTATAATACCTAAGAGGGGATATGATCTCGATCTCCATGTATAATACCGTATTTGCCGGCGTATAAGACGACTTTTTACCCCTTAAAAATCTTCTCAAAAGTCGGGGGGTCGTCTTATACGCCGGTATAATATGACATGACACTTTTTAGGGGGGCGGCGCGGTGCCGCCGCCGCCCCCCCCTTCCCCTAACGGAAGGGACACTAAGTACAGGGGTGGGCAGGGGCTATTTCTTACCTGGTTCCGGTCCCACGACGATCCGGTCCAGGAAGCGCGGCTGCGCCTTCAGTTCGGCCACTGGAGTTCGCGCGGCTGCTCGGCTCCGCCTCCTCACCAGCGATTGGCCGCCAGAACTGTAGCTCAGGAAAGGCACACAGGCGGCCAATCACCGGCGAGAGGGTGGAGCCGAGCGGATAAGGCGCGGAAAATCGAGTGCAGGACCAGCAGGTAAGTGGTCAGTGTAGAGGTGCTGCTGCAACCACATATGCTGGCTGCAGCAGCACCATACGAGAACAGAGTCAGCAAGTGTCAGTGGGAGGAATAGTGCCCCATCATTGGTGTCACTGATACCAATGATGGGGGATACTATTCCTCCCACTGATACCAATGATGGGGCACTATTCCTCCCGCTGATACCTATGATGGGGCACTATTCCTCCCACTGACACCAACGATGGGGCACTATTCCTCCCCCCCACTGACACCAACGATGGGGGGACTATTCCCCCCCCCCACTGACACCAACGATGGGGCACTATTCCACCCCCCCACTGACACCAATGATGGGGCACTATTCCACCCCCACTGACACCAATGATGGGGCACTATTCCTCCCCCCCACTGACACCAACGATGGGGCACTATTCCACCCCCCACTGACACCAATGATGGGACACCATTCCTCCCACTGACACCAATGTTGGGACACTATTCCTCCTACTGACACCAATGATGGGGCACCATTCCCCCCCACTGATACTAATGATGGGACACTATTCCCCCCACTGATACCAATGATGGGGCACTATTCCCCCCACTGATACCGATGATGGGGCACTATTCCTCCCACTGGTGTGCACTGGAAGAGGGGTAGTCTTATACGGCGAGTATAGCCCAAACACTACATTTTAGCAGGAAAAGTAGGGGGGTCGTCTTATACGCCCAGTCGTCTTATACGCCGGCAAATACGGTACATAAGGGGGGATATGATCACCATGTATAATACATAAGGGGGGATATGATCTCCATGTATAATACATAAGGGGGGATATGATCACCATGTATAATACATAAGGGGGGATATGATCTCCATGTATAATACATAAGGGGGGGATATGATCTCCATGTATAATACATAAGGGGGGATGTGATCTCCATGTATAATACATAAGGGGGATATGATCTCCATGTATAATACATAAGGGGGGATATGATCTCCATGTATAATACATAAGGGGGGATATGATCTCCATGTATAATACATAAGGGGGTGATATGATCTCCATGTATAAATACATAAGGGGGGATATGATCTCCATGTATAATACATAAGGGGGGATATGATCTCCATGTATAATACATAAGGGAGGATATGATGTCCATGTATAATACATAAGGGGGGATATGATCTCCATGTATAATACATAAGGGGGGATATGATCTCCATGTATAATACATAAGGGGGGATATGATCTCCATGTATAACACATAAGGGGGGATATGATCACCATGTATAACACATAATGGGGATATGATCTCCATGTATAAATACATCAGTGGTCCATATAGTGAACTCGGTGTAGAGTTATTCACCCTGAGGTCATCACAGAGGACAAGGGGACACTCTTTACGTCTGGAGGAAAATACATTTAATCTCCAAACACGGAAAGGTTTCTTCGGTGAGAGCTGTGAAAATGTGGAATAGACTCCCTCAAGAGTTGGTTCTGGCCAGCTCAATGGATTGCTTTAAAAAAGGCCTGGATTCTTTCTTAGATACACAGAATATAACTGGTTACTAACATTTATAGGTACAGTTGATCCAGGAAATATCCGATTGCCTCTCGGGGGATCAGGAAGGAATTCGTTTCCCTACGGGAGCAAATTGGATCATGCTTTGCTGGGGTTTTTTTTGTCTTCCTCAGGATCAACTATGGGTATAGGATTATAACTTTTTTTTTTTTTTAAATGGTTGAACTGGATGGACTTTTGTCTTTTTTCAGCCAGATTACCTATGTAACTATGATCACACAACCTATGCAGCTGCCTAAGGCCCCTTACACACAGGCATCATAATTTATTGATGTTTACTCTTGTGCATCCGTGTGCAAGGGGCCAAAAACTGTGTGTAAATACCTGAGTAATGTTGAGTATAGGCAAGTAAAGGTGTGTAAGCATATAGATGAGTATAGACGAGTAAAATTCTTCTTCATTGCCAGTATTGTGGCCCCTTACACACGGGCGTCACAAGTTCCTGAGTAAATATCAGTAAGTTATGACGCCCATGTGCAAAGGGCCTAAACGAGTAAACACAAGAGTAAATCACTGCAAAATGAAAAATGCAGAGCATCACCAGGGATGAAACCCAGCGTCTGGTGATGTCTATGCGTTCCAGACTTCAGGCTGTAATTGACTGCAAAGGATTTGCAACCAAGTATTAAAAAGTGAAAGTTTGATTTATGATTATTATTCTGTCCCATTACTTTTGGTCCCTTAACAAGTGGGAGGCGCCTATGCAAACTGTTGTAATTCCTACACCGTTCACCTGATTTGGATGTAAATACCCTCAAATTAAAGCTGACAGTCTGCAGTTAAAGTACATCTTGTTCGTTTCATTTCATATCCATTGTGGTGGTGTATAGAGCCAAAAATTTTAGAATTGTGTCAATGTCCCAATATTTATGGACCTGACTGTATGTGTTCTTCTGCATAGCAGCACTTAGACTGGGAGTTTGTCAGTGCTGTTAGTTGATCACTGTCAATGGAGGGGAGGACACAGGGGTGGCCTCATCAGTGTCTTCCTGCTTTTTCATTGTCCACTTACAGAGTAGGGGGATGGAGTGTGGGGGGGGGGGGGGGTTATTGAAAAAATTGTATTGTTCGACTGCATCTGGGCTTTTTTTTATCAGAGAATAGGTGCAGCAACCCCCCCCCCCCCCCAAATTAAAGCTGACAGTCTACAGTTAAAGCACATCTTGTTCGTTTCATTTCAAATCCATTGTGGTGGTGTATAGAGCCAAAAATGTTAGAATTGTGTCTATGTCCCAATATTTATGGACCTGACTGTATTCAGGTACTTAAACTAGCTCTATGTAAAAAGACATTCGATTATTTTTTATTTAATTCCTGTCTGGATTAAACAGTAGGCTTTTGCATGTGCTTAGAGTTCTATGTTAATATTACTCTCCCAGTGAAATACATCTAGTTTTGTTATGTAAGCTGCTAAAAAAGAAACAGTGCGATGGTGGGGTCACGTAGAACAGATGGCGAGCACAGTGCAATAACGAAACCACAAACCAGCGCGGCTCAGATTGCTTCTGGGTGAAATTTTTACTAAACACAAGATCATTAATGTATAAATGGAGCCTACTGTCTAAGTGCTAAGGAAAATCAAACTTCACGTCAGCCTGTCAGGATACATTCAATGAATGGCTCCAAGGAAAGGACTCTGTTGAGCTGTTTCTGTATTTATTTTGTAGCTTAACACATAACCAAAAGCAGTTTGTGGTCTGTAACCTGTAACCTAAAGTCTGAGTGTAGTTCATTTTTTTTAGGTGTACTTTCATGGAATGAGAAGTGTCCCTTGTGCTGGTGGCTGCTCTCTTAATTAAAATCTTTTGTCCTCTGCCCCCCTCCCCCCACACCCCTGCATTGGTAATCTTCTGAGCTTCAAACAGGCGCTTGATCTGTCATAGCAATTATATTATAGCTTCCAGGAATAAAAAGTGCTCTATGAATGGAGGATGGGCAAATGAACAAAAGGGGGGAGGCAAGGGTGGGCACAGTCAGCACTTTACCTGGTTTTACACTTATCACAGATGATGTTTTACAGACTTTCACCAGTTTTTTGTGTATTTTAAGCCACTTCAAGTTGGGACACTTTTACCCCCTTCCAGTCCAGGCCAATTTTCAGCTTTCAGTGCTATCACACTTTGAATGACAATTGCGCGATCATGCAACACTGTACCCATATGAAATTTTTAGCATTTTTTTGAGACAGATAAAGCTTTATTTTGGTGGTATTTATTTACCACTGGGATTTTTATTTTTAAAAAAGTGTTTTTCTGATAACATTTTGCAAATAAATAATATTTCATCATAAATCTTGACCAAAATTAATTCCATTATCTTTTTATTAAAAAAAAAAAAATAACCCAAATTAGTTTATAACCAAATATTATAATTTTTAAACATTTGTTTTTACATTTTAATTTTTTTATATTATTATTTATTTTTTGGGTTTTTTTTTACATGCTGTCACCCTAGCAGTACAGTGTCACAGCCCTGGGAACAAGAGTCGGGCTGTGCATACCGTAACCTCTCTCAGAACCCACCAGGTCCCCATGCCACGTGTCCCTTCTTCCGTCCCTTCTTCTGAGGGGCAGTGCTGCCCCCCCTGGCAAATGCCGCCCTAGGCAAATGCCTTGCTTGCCTTGCAATAAATACACCCCTGGGCTTTAAGGGTTATGATTGGTCATTACTTCTGTATATACCACAGAGCAAAACATGGTATAAGTAGTCTCTTTCCAGAGCTGCGACACACACGTGTCTGGTTTGATCATCAGCCAAGCCGTAGAAATGTCAGGACTCCTTGGCAAAAGGCATCTATAGCTAAATTTTTTGTTACATTTTTTCAAGATTATTACATGTGTTATCTCTATCTGTCATTGCCTAATTAAATGTTACATACAGTTTCATTTTGCCTGCAAATGTCTGTGTGATCTCCGTTTGCACATCTCAAAAAAAAAAACACAAAAAAATATAAACTATCATGTAACTGTGATAAAACAACAAGCCACCTCCCATGCCCCCCCTTCTACAGTTTTCTTGACTTTTCTTGCTGAATTTAACAGCAGGTTTCCAAAGGTGGTCAGGACAGGGAAACATAAATAATTAAAAAAAGTTAGCAAAATTAGTATTTTTTTTTTAATTTGGTGCCACCGTTCCTTACCCCGCTGCCTTAAAGCTGGCTATATACTGTTTGAAATTTGGCTGGTTCAGCGAGGTGGGGGTGAGGGATGTGGGGCACCCCTCCATCTGCTATGTTTGAGTAGACAAAGGGATCTATTTTGTTTTTTTTTCATTCAGCCCTCCGGGTGAAATAAAATGAAAACTAACAGTGTTTGGCCAGCTTCAGCTACAGAATGACATATGCCAGTATTGTAAAAACAGGCCTGCTGGAGACTCTACACTCAAACACACAGGACAGTGATCAAGCCTAGTACCCAGAACTATATCTTTGGAGTTAGGAGAGCAGAGCAAAAAGAGCAGCTAGGGAGCACAGAAAGGTAAGTATATCCAGGGGGAAGGGTGGGTATTTATTCAGTTCCCAATCACGCTATCGCCAAAAGACAGCTACGGCATGGTTGGCTAGTTTTGGGATGGCGTCCATGGACGTCCTCCCAGGACCACACCCCCCGCTTGCCTCCTAGGCAGGCACCGTGCACGAGCTGTGATCGCTGTGTCCTTCAGACATAGCTGATTACGTGTCCAGGTAAAGGGCCAATTAGAGATGCTTTTTACCATGTGATCAGCTGTGTCCAATCACAGCGGAAATAGGAAATGCTGGTTATCGGCAGTCCTCTCTCCAGGCTGACAGCGTGTGAGGAGAGGAGAGCTGGAAAGCTCCATTTCTCAGAGGGGACATCTACACTGATCATCAGTGTCCTGATCATCAGTGTATTTATTAATTTTATTTATTTCAGGTACTTATATAGCGCTGTCAATTTAAGCAGCGCTTTGCATACATGTATTGTACATTCACATCAGTCCCCAACCCTCAAGGGGCATACAATCTAAGGTCCCTAACTCACATTCATATACAAGGGCCAATTTAGACAGGATCCAATTAACCTACCAGCATGTCTTTGGAGTGTAGGAGGAAACCGGAGTACCTGGAGGAAACCCACGCAGGCACAGGGAAAACATGCAAACTCCAGGCAGGAGGTGCCGTGGCTGGGATTCGAACCAACAACCCTAGTACTGCTAGGCGGAAGTGCTAAGCATTTAGCCACTGTGCTGCCCGGTGTAGACCCATCAGTGCAGCTAATAGTGTCCATCAGTGCTTTGTATCAGTGCCCATCAGTGCTGGTTATCAGTGCCTTCTCAGTGTTGGCTATCAGTGCCCATCAGTTCTGGCTGTCAGTACCCATCAGCATATCAGTGCCCATCAGTGCCACCTATCAGTGTCCATCAGTGCTGCCTATCACTGCCCATGAGTTCCGCCTATCAGTGTCCATCAGTGCCACCTATCAATGCCCATCAGTGCCTCCTATCAATGCCCATCAGTGGCGCATATCGGTGCAGCCTCATCAGTGCAGCCTATCAGTGCCCATCAGTGGAGCCCACATAAGCACACATCAGTGAAGGAGAAAAATCATTTATTTACAAAACTTTATAACAGAAACTAAGAAAAACTTTTTTTTTTCAAAATTTTTGGTCTTTTTTCGCTTGTTTAGCAAAAAATAAAAACCCCAGTCAGTGGTGATTAAATACCACCAAAATAAAGCTCTATTTGTCTCAAAAAAATTATAAAAGAATGCTGAAAGATGAAATTTGGCCTAAGCAGGAAGGGGGCAAAAGTGCCCGGTAGACAAGTGGTTAAAGGATAACTTCACCTTTTCATCTGTTACATGTTACACCCATATTCAGGGTGTAACAGGTAACATGTTAGGAAAGTACCGACCCCTGCTGATCGCTGGTGCAATGCATTACAAGCTCTTAAAACAAAAATAATAAATGCACATTTTTTTACCTGCAACAAAAATGTGCATTTATTATTTTTGCTCAAAAGGTGAACTTATCTTTTAAGTAAACCTATTGCTTTGCCATACATGGGCAATCTTACTTTAATTTACAATACAGACATTTTAAGTTGCAAAACGGACATTTTTTGAGCTGAAACAATTATAGAAAAATATAATCATAAACTATAGCACATACAAACATAGTTTTTCAACTTATAAACTATTGGAATGAAGGTAGAAAATACACTGATCTGCTCATGTTGTTTGCTTAATCACATGCAGGAAAAATGTAAATATTGGAAGGGAATTAGTTACAATGAGGATTTAGAAACATAAAGTATCTCCTGCAGAACGTGGAAACTGTCTCTTTTAAATATCAAACATTTAAGAGGGGACTAGATAAATCTACAGGTAAGTTGGATAAACACTGAAAAAATAAAATATAGTAACAGTAACTTGGCAAACTAACCAGAGGAGTTGGAGCCTTTTCCACATCTAAAATTAGTTTCCCAATGTTGCCTCTGTCATGAATTCTTTGCATCGCCTCCTTAACCTGTAATTGATATAGAGTAAAACAAATATGAAGAACATAGAGGAGCAATTCCATGGACTGTATAAATAAGTACATTATGTAAAGAATGATTATTGGCTGATGAGAAGTCTAAATATTCCATTGCTTTAAACTTCCGGCAAAAACTTATTTACATGTTCTTGTTACTGATTTCCTACCTTTTACGAATATGTCATCCATATTCTGGTTCACTCAGTAGTTGCTCTGAAATAGCCTATTTATTTTTAAATCAAACTGGTAATTCTCTTTGGTTTCCTGTCTGTAAGACTGGTGACTGCTATGTCTCCTATTCCCCCAGCCACTGGTCTTGGCACATCCCTTCTGTAGTTTCTCCAGCAGTGATGTAATTCAGCCTCATTCACAGTAGTGGGCAGACTTGAACTCTAAGGCACGTTCAACATGCACAGGCCTAATGTACCTGCCCACATTCCCTGTGGTTGATGGGAACTGTAGTTTCCTTTCACTGCAGAAAGCAAAGAGGATATGATGTAGTCCCTGCTGTTACACCTCATACTTGGCAGAGGAGATGCTGTTATCTTTTAAATTACCGAGATGAGGTCATAAAGACTTTTCTCCTGAAAGGTAAGGATTTTCAACATTTTATTAACTTAGTGTTTAGTGTGTGCATGTGTGTGTGTGTGTGTGTGGGGGGGGGGGGGTGTACTAATAGCCTATTAAGGTGTTCTTCTTTAAAAAAAGACCATTATAGTGAAAAATATTGTATTCACCTCACCTCTAGCTCTTACACCTTTTGAACCTGTATGCAGCAGTGACCCAATGTCCAAAGATATGTTGACTCTCCAATGGACATTGCTAAGTGGGAAATGGACCTGGGGACTCTGTTGGTGACACGACTTGATAAAGCGCATGCGCGCGAAAACATGTTGTCCCAGCAACCGGCCTCTTCCTTCTAAAGCTGCGGCTCCAGCAAGAGTTCCCCCCTTCCGTCTCTCCACATCGTGGTGACGTCATCCGGGACGCCGGATACATACACGTGGTCCCTGCACTGACAGGCATTCTACTCCACTACTTCCCTCTGAGCGGACGGGCCGTCCATCTTGGAACCTGGCTTCTTAAAGCCACAGGCTGGTTATCTATTTTTTACCATATGAATTATTAAAGGCACACTTCCATACAAGGTGTATTACTTTTATCACAAAACTACACAGCGCCTGGCTCCTGTTCATACTTTCCACAAACCGATGTGTTTTTACTATGGCAGCAGTGAGTTTTTTCCCCACCAATCACAGTTGACATATACCATTCACTTATTTCCTTCGGGACACATCTGTGCGCTTTTACGCAGACCGTTCTAAATAAGGAATACTATTACTCATGGTTCTGTGAACTCTTCTTTTTTAGTGGCCAACTATCAGCTCCTACTCCAGTGTCATATGGTACCTTCTAGAATAACCAAATTTGAACAAGATGCCTCAGACTGTCGCTTTCATGGATGTGACTTGGATGGCATTTTGGTACACTTTTGTTGGAAATGTCCAGAGATTAAAGGTTTTGAACAAGAGTGTACCAACTGATTTATACAATTTAGGAAACAGTATCCCCAAAAACCGTAACAAGGCCTTGCTGAACCTCAAACCTCTCTCTTGCATACCTCAACAATTTAAATTGCTATTTTCTTTTTTTACTGCAGCCAAGCAAAGCTTAGCTAGTTTATGGAAGTCTGGGGTTCAAACTATTGTGCAAGTTAAGCAAAAAATGTCATGATACTTCTTTAACGAGAAACTGGCAGCTATTTTACACAACACACCCTAATAACTCAGTTTGGTCACTTTAACTCACGTATTTAGACTTATGCTTACTATTGGGGGGGTTTGCCCTAGGCACCGGAGTCTGTCCGGGCCCAACTCCGACCCTTTACCCTACCCCCTCCTTTTGTTTCTCTTCTTTTCTTTCTTTTTCACTATCTCTCCCTCGCCTATCTATCATTCTCTTTGCAAAACTTCAGTTTCTAGATTTGGAGAATATTTTTTATGGAGTTTTGTTATCAACATTCCAGGAATCCATAAGCTCTTCCCTCAAAACTGAGTGAGGCTTCAATGTGTTATCTATATCTATGGGGGAATGAAGCCTATCTTCTGTTGTGAACTTCCAGAATGGGGGTTGGAACTCCGGCACTCCTCTTTGAGTAAACTTTAGGGGCTAGCATATTGTTGTTGGATTATACATGTTCTTTTCTCATTGTATTATGCCTTACTATTTATAACAGTCATGTAATAATTACATATGGAAATGTGGGACAAAAAAATGATTGTTATATAATTGTAATTGCATTTTTTACAAAAATGTTTAATAAACATGCTGGTTATGATATGAATTCCTTTTTATTTTAAAGAGAAGACTGGTCAAAGCTTTTCTGTCTCTACTTCTCTTCTGGATCACAGGCAGGAAAGCACTTAGTTCTACACTTCTGTGACCCAGATTCAGCTGATAGCAGGCTAAAGTCCGCTGTTGGATAACGTCACAGAGCAGGTTCAGGCTCTACAAGGATCCCAACTTAAAGCAGAGCTCCACCCAAATGGGGAAGTCTCTGCTTTAAGGCTTTGTCCCCTGCTCCCCATTAAGGATTGGCACCTTTGGGGAGCAGGGGTGGGGAGGGGGGTACCTGAATTTGACAGGTACCTGCTTCCACTTCTGCTGCGATCTCCTAGGCAATCGGAAGCAGATGTTATCCTCCCCCCCTCGCTCCCTGTAGTTTTCTGGGACACTAGAGGAAGAAGACCATAGAACCATTCACAAAGCGCAGCGCTACTCACGTATGCGGGTGCTTAGCTGTGAAGCCGCAAGCTGTCACAGCTGGGTGCCCACACTGAAGATGCCGGAGCCGAGGAGACAAGATGGTCGGTCAACCCGGCTGGTGTGAGGACACCGCAAGATCAAAGAACAGGTCTGTGTTCGTTTTTTAAAAGTCAGCAGCTGCTGACTTTTATTTTTTTTTATTTCCCACTGGACCCCCCGCTTTAAGGTCAGGATCCACCTAGATGCCTGATTGGCAGCTGGTTCAGCCACTCAGGGCACTGCTGAGAGCCTGAGACATCCGCTCTTGCCCCCCTTCCACAGCCCAGCGCCCCCAGTGAGCACTGGAGGGACAAAGTGGAGAGCGGTGATTGACAAACGCTCTCTGCTCAATGAACACTGAGGACTTAGTGATCAGTGGTCATATGATTGCTCAGTTTTTGGTCTTTGAGCTGAAAGAGGACAGCTGCAGCATCAGACCAATATATACTGTAGGGTAATATAGAGAGGATAAAAATAAGTATTGAACACGTTACTATTTTTCTAGGTAAATATTTCTGCTATTGACGTGAAATTTCACCACATATCGGCAACAACCCATGCAATCCTTACATATAAAGAAACCAAACAAATTCAGAAATTAAGTTATGTGTAATAAAATGGAATGAAAGGAAAAAATATTTAATACGCTAACTGAAAATTATTTAATACTTCATACAAAATCTTTTGTTGGTAATGACAGTTTCAAGACGCCTCCTGAATAGAGAAACTAATTGCTTGCATTGCACAGGTGTGATTTTGGCCCATTCTTCCACACAAACAGTCTTCAAATCTTGAAGGTTCCGTGGGCCTCTTCTGTGAACTCAGATCTTTAATTATTTCGATAGATTTTCAGTTGGATTCAAGTCAGGTGATTGGCTGGGCCATTACAGCAGCTTCGTTTTCTTTTAAACCAACTGAGAGCTTTCTTGGCTTTGTGCTTGGGATCAGTCTTGCTAAAATGTACACCCTCGTTTCATCTTCATCATCCTGGCATTAAATTTTTATCAAGAATGTCTTGATACATTTTTCCATTCTTCCTCTCTTCAATGATATGAAATTTGCCAGTATCGTATGCTGAAAAACAGACCCACACCATGATGTTGCCACCTCCACACTTTACTGCTGGTATGGTGTTTTTGGGGTGACGTGCAGTGCCATTTGACCTCCAAACATGGTGTGTATTATGGCGTCCAAAGATTTCAACCTTGGTCTCATCTGACCAGACTATATTTTTCCAGTATTTCACAGGCTTGTCTAAATGTTGTGCAGCAAATTTTAAACAAGCTTCAACGTGCTTTTTCTTCAGCAATGGAGTCTTGCGTGGCAAGTGTGCATACAGGCCATGGCGGTTGGGTGCATTACTTATTGTTTTCTTTAAAACAATTATGCCTGTTAATTAGAGGTCTTTTTTGAAGCTTGGACAACTCTTCTGATCATTCTTTTTACTCCTCTGTCAGAAATCTTGCGAGGAGCACCTGGTCGTGGCTGGTTTATGGTGAAATGATATTCTTTCCACTTCTGGATTATGGCCCCAACAGTGCTCACTGGAACATTCAGAAGTTCAGAAAGCTTTCTGTTTTCTTTTTTATTGTTTTGCAATAATAAGGCTGCAAATGTCTTGAGAGAGCTCCTTGCTTTTACCCATCATGAGATGTTTCTTGTGTGACACCTTGGTAATGAGACACCTTTTGAGAGGCCATCAGTTGAAACTGAACCAGCTGATATTAATTTGCACTGACAAGGGGCATGATTGCTTTGTAATTACCTATAGATTTAAGCTGGTGTCTTGGCTTTCCATGCCTTTCTTCATGTGTTCAATACTTTTTCCCTGTGTCACTCCATTTTATTGCACATAACTTAATTTCTGAATTTATTTGTTATGGTTTCTTTTTGTATGTATGGATTGTATGGCTTGTTAAGGATGTGGTGAAATTTCATGTCAATAGCACCTTTGAAATTTATTTACCTAGAAAAATGGTGATGCATTCAATACTTATTTTACCAGCTGTATATGTTTATTTCTTAGATACTCCACACTTCTCCTTTATTATGTATTTATATTTTTCTCCAAATTAACATACAGACCAAGTTACAAGGGTTGGGACAAACCGCATAACACTACCAGGGGTGGTTATAATGGTCGGCTTTTAGACATACAGTAAATGTAAACTTTTTTCCCAAAAGAAAAAATAACGCAACTTCTCCAAAAGTATTAGTTGGAAGCAGCCTTTCACTTGTTTGTGGCTTATTTAAAGCCTATTTAAAACTACAAGTCCATCTAAGGCTACCCTGTCAGCAGGGTGACAATGCTGTTGCACCATTTCACTGCAGAACAGTGTCACCCTGTTACAGGAAGTGTCACCCTGTTACAGGAAGTGGAAAAATAACTAAACTACTGGCAGAATCAACAAGTAATAAAACTGTTACAGGGACACTCAGAAAAACTAAATCTGCTTTGTTGATGCTATTGACATGAAGAGTTCCTCTAATAGCTATCTGCATATACACTGATAAAAATACCATAGTGCAATCCTAATAATCACAGCAATCTTTCTGAGGAATCCTCTGCCCAGCCCCTTGTGTGAGTAAATCCGGCCATGCACTAGTAGATCTTGGAATGGGTAAATGCCAATGCACAAAAGCATTGGCATTTACAAGAGCACTACTGTGTACAGCCATCCTTTTACATGGCATGTTGCAGATGGCATGTGCAACTCCCTGGGCACCAAAAAATGCCAGAAAATTCTAATAGCCATGTAATATGCCAAAAAAAGTCTCTGTGTACATGAACCCCTATATAACTATAGCCAGAAAAGTAGATAATTGTTAAGAATCATATTTTCACTGTAGACTAGAAACACGTATCATACTTCTTCCAAGGCCCATAATGAATCCACCAGGGGCTTGATCTTCTTCTCATTAAACAAGGTCAGGAGTTTATCTACTACTCCTCGAATAATTCCAGCTCGTCCTTGTTTGAAGAGTAAATTCAGAAGAGAGAAGCCTGCCATCACTTTATTCTCTTCATATAACTTGATGGGATTGACTTTTTCCACCTGCCACCACTGAAAAACAAAAGACAGCATCAGTCCTGGAAAACTTCCACAAGTTGTCTGGTAGGAATATGTCACAATGCAACAGAGTTGAGATGTAAACTACAAAACTCAAGCTTGTAACCATTCATGACAAAATAGACTAGACATTCATTACATCAAATTTAGATGGATTGTTTTGATATAAACATCTTTGGACTCGAGATCAATGGTATCTAAACCACAGCCCATTGTTTGCCTTTATCAGGTCCTTGGGGCACTAATACTCCCACTGATACAAGACACTATTCTGCCAACTCACACCAACAATGGGCCACCATTTCTCCCACTGACACCAACAATTGGGCACCTTTTCTCTCACTGACACTAACAATGGGGCACCATTTCTACCATTGACACCAACAATGCGGCACCATTTCACCCACTGACACTAACAATGGGACACCATTTCTACCATTGACACTAACAATGGGGCACCATTTCTACCATTGACACCAACAATGGGGCACCATTTCTCCCACTGACACTAACAATGGGGCACCATTTCTACCATTGACACCAACAATGGGGCACCATTTCTACCACTGACACCAACCATGGTGCACCATTTCTCCCACTGACACTACCAATGGGGCACCATTTCTCCGACTGACACCAACAATGGTGCACCATTTCTCCCACTGACACTAACAAATGGAGCCTATATCCACCACCTCCTGTGAACTGTTTACTGAGGTAATGTGAAAGGTTGGTGCACTCTTTTCTTTTGTTACCTACTTCAGACTAACAATGGGGCACCATTTCTACTACTGACACCAACAATGGGGCACCATTTCTTCCACTGACACCAACAATGGGGCACTATTTTTCCCAATGATAATATCAATGGGGCATTATTCCTGCCCCTAATACCACATGTGGAAATGTCTACTCCCACTGATGTCAGGGAAATTTCCACTCCCGCTGGCCACAGTACGGCTCCCCTAAAGTTCGTAAAACAATAAACTGGCCCTTTGTTTAGAAAATTTAGAGACCCCTGCTCTAGATCCTTTGGTATAACACTCTTATTCCACCACTGAACCCTGTGGAAAAATAAATCAGCAATCTGAAAGTCCTGTTGACCTGTGAATAATCAAATTGCCAGGCTCATTAGCTACAGCCAAATTAGATGTAATGTGTGTTTGCTTGAGAGTATGGTAGGGAAATTGGAGAGTATGGTAGGGAAATTGGAGAGTATGGTAGGGAAATTGGAGAGTATGGTAGGTAAATCAGAGAGTATGGTAGGGAAATCAATGAAATCAATGGGCATTATTCCTCCCCCTAATACTACATGTGGAAATGTCTACTCCCACTGATGTCAGGGAAATTTCCACTCCCGCTGCCCACCATACGGTTCCCATAAAGTCCGTAGAACAATAAACTGGCCCTTTGTTTAGAAAATTTAGAGACCCCTGCTCTATATCCTTTGGTATAACACTCTTATTCAATCACTGAACCCTGAGGAAAAATAAATTAGCCATCTGAAAGTCCTGTTGACCTTTGTTGTTCTGAAAAAATCCCTATGGACCCAACATGTAGTGGAGCGCAAACCGAACTACAGGCCAGTGGCTAATAAACCATACAGTATGCATCACTTATATCAAATCATAAACTAGTTTTATGTAATGGAAAGAATTTGTATGGGAAGTTTAGGCTCTAAGTGGTAGATAATTCTCGCTGCTGAATTCCTAGGCTCCATTTTCCCTAAGTGACCCTATCCGCAAGTAGTTTGTGTGTTTGTTTCCTCTAAATGGCTATTTTTCCATCCACAATTAGACAATTAGAATAATCACATTGCTAGGCTCATTAGCTACGGCCAAATTAGATGTAATGTGTGTTTGCATGAGAGTATGGTAGGAAAATCGGACTGTAAGCTTCACAGGGGCAGTGGCTGATATTAATGGCTCATTACTTTCTGGAACATTCTGAAAATATGCTGGAGCCATTACTGCTCAACCTAAAAGAACTCCACTGAGCACTGCTGTTTCTAAAATAGTCACAGGCAGCCTAAATACAAATGTAGAGAAAAAGAACTACAACCCTGGAATGGGTAATATACAGTTGCAAGAAAAAGTATGTGAACCCCTTGGGATTACGTGGAGTTTTGCATGAATTGGGCATAAAATGTGCTCTGAATGTCATCTAAGTCATAACAATAGAAGAACACAGTCTGCTGAACATAATACTACACAAACATTAGATGTTGCCATGGTTTAATTGCACATAACATGTAAAGATTCACAGTGCAGGGAGGAAAAAGTATGTGAACCTTTGGACTTAATAAACTGGTTGACTCTCCTTTGGCAGCAATAACCTCAACCAAACGTTTCCTGTAGTTGCAGATCAGACCTGCACAACGATCTGGAGTAATTTTGGGCCACTCCTCTTCACAAAACTGTTTCAGTGTAGCAATATTCTTGGGATGTCTGGTGTGAATCGCTCTCTTAAGGTCATGCCACAGCATTTCAATCGGGTTGAGGTCAGGACTCTGACTGGGCCACTCCAGAAGGCGTATTCTGTGCTGTTGCAGCCATTGTTTTGTTGAATTACTTGTATGCTTTGGATCATTGTCCTGTTGCATCACCCATCCTCTGCGGAGCTTCAGTTGGCGGACAGATGGTCGTACGTTTTCCTGCAAAATGTCTTGATAAACTCTGGAATTCATTTTCCCATCAATGACAACAATCCGTCCAGGCCCTGAGGCAGCAAAGCAGCCCCAAACCATGATGCTCCCTCCGCCATGTTTCACAGTGGGGATGAGGTTTTGATGTTGGTGTGCTGTGCCTTTTTTTCACCACACATAGTGTTGTGTGTTCTTCCCAAACAACTCAATCTTGGTTTCATCTGTCCACAGTATATTTTGCCAGTAGTGCTGTGGAACATCCAGGTGCTCTTTTGCAAACTTCAAACGTGCTGCAATCTTCTTTTTGGACAGCAATGGCTTCCTCCGTGGTGTCCTCCCATGTACTCCATTCTTGTTTAATGTTTTCCTTATTGTAGATGTATCAACAAAAATGTTAGCATGTGCCAGAGATTTCTGTAGGTCTTTAGCTGACACTCTGGGATTCTTCTTTACCTCATGCAGCATTCTGCGCTGTGCTCTTGCAGTCATTTTTACAGGACGACCACGCCTAGGGAGAGTAGCAACAGTGCTAAACTTTCTCCATTTGTAGACAGCCTGTCTTACCGTGGACACATGAACATCAAGGCTTTTGGAGAAACTTTTGTAACCCTTTCCAGCTTCATGCAAGTCAACAATTCTTGATCGTAGGTCTTCTGAGAGCTCCTTTCTGCGAGGCATGGTTCACATCAGACAGTGCTTCTTGAAACCAGTAAACCCAAAACAGGTGTGTTTTTTAAGGGCAGGACAGCTGTCAGCAACACATCCAATATCATCACACTGATTGGAGTCAAGGTTGGCTCACTCCTGGCTCCAATTAGCTCTGGGAGAAGTCATTAAGCTAGGTCCTCACATACTTTTTCCTCCCTGCACTGTGAATGTTTACATGTTATGTGCAATTAAACCATGGCAACATCTAATGTTTGTGTAGTATTATGTTCAGCAGACTGTGTTCTTCTATTGTTGTGACTTAGATGATGTTCAGAGCACATTTTATGCCCAATTCATGCAAAACTCCACGGAATCCCAAGGGGTTCACATTCTTTTTCTTGCAACTGTACCAGCAAAAATATGAGCGCAAACGTTTCTTAAAGGAGAACTTCAGAAAGTATCTTTAGAAAGGACTGCAAGCAGGTTAATTACACTTAACTTTGAAAACCCTGAGCTGAGATGTACTATGAAACCAGTCTCTGTGCATTATCGGAATGGAAGTAGTCAGCCCCGATAGACTCTTACTATTACTACAGAGCTGCTTAGATCAACATGGCACATCCCTCAATAAAGCTTTATCCTTGGCCAATACATAGAGAGTCTCAGGCAAGTTGGAACCTGTCTAGTAGTCTCTTTGGCAACAAAGACCTTTTTTATCAACAACATTGGCAACAAGCACAATATGTCAACTCCAACAGATGAAATATTGTTGCTGGGGGGGGTCAGAAATTTAAAAGGAAATGGGCATGCCATTGGAGCGGTGGAGGATTACTTGTGAGTGAGGTCCTTCTCTCGTGCACTCCATCAGTTTGGATATACAGGGGAAGTCAGTAAAGGCCCAATGACACTGGATGTATTGCCCTTTAAAATAGCCTACTCCAGATTCAAAAATCCCTTCCGCCCCTTTCAGCAGATTCAGGTAGTTCTTAACAGCGCCATTTTTACAAAGTGGCATGGTTACTGTGCCAAATTCCAAAAATAATTACTTCCAGTTGGTAGATTAAAAAAACTGGAGTTAATTAAGACCAACTCTAACTTGGTGTACAGAGACAGGCAGAGTGCCCATCTCTGTACGCTGTGTAGCAGGCGGTGCGTTTGCTGTTGTTACCTCCTCCTCTCCCCTCCTGTTACTTGTTGTTAAACTGGAGTTCCATCCAAAAGTGGAAGCTCTGCTTTTCTGCCTCCTCCCCCACTCCTCAGCCACATTTGGTACCTTTTGGGGAGGAACAGGTACCTGGTTTTGACAGGTACCCGCTCCCACTTCCAGCTGAGTTCACCATGGTGAACTGAGCCCTCTGGGACACTTTCAAGGCCCAGAGGACTGCAGCCCATTCACAAAGCACAGCCCGCTGCATGCATGCGCAGTAGGAAACTGGTGGTGAGGCTGCAAGGCTTCACTGCCAGTTTCCCTTAGTCAAGATGGCGGAGCTAGCACTCGACAGCCAACTAAAGAATCGGCTTGGGGCGAGGACACCGCTTGATGCCTGGACAGGTAAGTGCCCTACTATTAAAAGTCAGCAGCCACAGTATTTGTTGCTGACTTTTAAGTTTTTTTTGGGGGAGGTGGCGGGGGCCAGAACTCTGCTCTTTAGGACACATTATCTTCACATTTGACAGCCTCCTGGCAACCAGTGATGATAACAGTGGGCAGAGATTGACTGGGAAGCTAAAGGTCTAGTTCTTCCTCAGGTCCACTCTCTTTTTGTGATTGATAGCAGACAGTGGGAGACTTCTATAGCCAAAAGTATCCAAAGTATTGGCCATGGATCTACCTACTACCTGCTGTGAATCACAAGGGAAGCAGACCTGAAGGGGAACTGGTGTCCCTGAATTCCTATCAGGCTCTGCCCACCCAGCTTCAAATATACTCGGCACTGCACTGTCTGCGTGACATCTGCAGCGACTGGGAGGAAACTCAGCTGCACCAAAGATGAATGGATATTGCATTGCGTGCCCTACATTTATGTATCTGTTTCAAACAGGTAAATAAATCTGTCGACCGCACCAACCTCAGCAAGCCAGTCTCATGTCAATCAATATTTTTAGAGGAGTTTTTGAAATTTGACCGTTTAAACCTTATATGGGCGATAATAGTGCACAAACAATTGGAAAATCCACAAAACAAAAAGAGAAGAGCTTTTGAATAACAGCATCAAAGAAAATGAAGGCATTAGGGATAGAAGTCAATATTCATAGATAACAGCAAGAGAACAAAACTCTTTCATTGCTTTGGTGAATCCTGGTGTTTTATTGATCAGCTCCATAATATGCCCTGAGCCTTATCTTTGTCATGAGCTACAGCATTTTACCTTTGTGAGACATCATATATACATCTCTCTAAAGCTTGTGCGCACAATGGCTTGAATGAAAATTGCGATTATTAACCCATGAGACAACGACACTTACTGATTTAGCAAAGCTGAAGAAGCTTTTTGTTTCACCAGTAACCATATTGGATGAGCCTATAAAAGAAAAGTGTTTACAAATTACAAATCAATTAATAAGGGATATTATAACAGGATGTACAATAAAATTGAACTCCAGATACAAAACTTGAAACCAACTGAACTTTAACCTCCCTGGCGGTATGATTATTTCAGATTTTTGGTGCTGAAAGCGGTACCATTATTTTGCATGGAAATATGTAGTTTTTTTATTGTAGGCTGTAATTTTTAGGAATAACTCACTGAAATCTGTCCGAACAAGAGTCTAGTAAACATTCCGGGTATGATAAAACTTGAAACACGAAATCATAAATTATATTTTAATAAATAATCATAAAAAATAATAATATAATAATAATACATTTAATTCAATAATATAATCAAACCAAAAACACTGAAATTTGAAATATAGCGCCAAGTTCGCACATTGCTGAGCAAAGTCGCAAAATCGTTTTCAGTGTCTGATGACGAATTTCCCCCACGAATCATTATCACTCAATTCTGCAAGTTGTTCTGATTTACTATCGCTGTTCTCTAGCTGATCTAAACCTGCTTTTGACCTAAAGGGACACTTTGTGGACTTTTTTTTGGACACTTGCCATGGACTTTTATCAGTTTCCAGGCAGAAAGAACAGACAAAATGCAGGCAGGGCGCCGGACAAAGCACTAGGGACAAAATGTATGTGAAATGGGTTGAAACAGCAATGTTTTACTATGTAAATTTGTTTGGAAAAAAATGACATTTTTTTAAATTTTCAAATTTCCCGCCACTACCCCTACGTCCCGACGTCACAGGGACCGGAACACAGAAGCCGGATGCCGGCATCGGCCGGAGGAGATGGCCGGGGACGCTGCAGGGGACACATCGCGGGAGCGAAGGACAAGGTAAGCTCTGCAGGGACTCCCTATGCAGCGCCGCATGGTAAGCCCGAGTGTAGCTCGGGGTTACCGCTTTTGGTACTGACATTTTACCCCGAGCTACACTCGGGAATACCGCCAGGGAGGTTAAAGTGTTTCTAAACCCACAATTGTAAAATCAGCCTGTATATGCAGTAAAGCATGCTTGTTATACTCACTGTGGAACCCAAGGAGTTTATCCAATGCATTGTGTAAAACGGCTGTTTGATCCTGTCTTCTCTGATTCTCCCCTTCTTCTACTGTCCCCAATCCATCTGCTGATAGTACAGAGCCTTGGGGGCAAGCTGTACATGCTCAGTTTGGTGTGTATTGCTAGAGAGTTGTTTCATTTTTCTTGGGAGAGTGCGGGTGATCACCAAAGGGCCAATCAGCACCATCCAGAGGGTCAGGGGTTTTGCAGCCTCATAGGGGAGAAAGAAAACTCCTCCTACAAGCTTTCACCAGTGCTCTGCTGGACACTGATAGAAGTCACAGGACTGCTTTAACGGCTGATAAAAAAGATATGTAGCAGTTTACATTCACTAAAATAATTGCATTTCCATGTTCTGTGTACTGTAGGAGACCAGATATAGTGAATGCAGGGTCCTGGGTTTAGTAACACTTTAAATCAGCTAAATACAATCCAGGTGCTTAAAGAAAAGTGTGCAACGTCTTACAGTTTGTTTTATTTAGATAGCAGCTACAGTATAGCCTGAGCAGAAAAGGCTGTCTCCTGCCAGCATGCTACTCCCTGCAGGTGTCCGGCAAGCTCCCTGCTGAGTCAGAGCCAGAGATCTCCAATCAATAGGGAAAATAAGCTTTCCGGTTCAATACATTTTTATTGGAGGTTTGCAAAGTTTACAAGAACCTAGTACAGAACATAATGAAATTGCACAAAGTGCAGCAAGAGGGGAAACAATACCCCTATACCAGTACCAAGTACACAAAAAAAGACTTGACTAGTCCAAGAGTCCATATGCAGAGGAATCACATTAGCAAAAATAAGCTTTGCTGGATTAAAGGTCGGACTCAGCAAAGGGAGTACTGGACCTCTGTAGAGAGACCACTGCTTACCCACAGAGAGCAAGGGTTCCACTGTGCAGCTGCTGGCAGGGAACATGTCTGCGCCACTCTTTCTTAGTTCTTCCCAGTACGTTTTTCCCTCTTTGCTTAACCACTTCCCGTCCGGCCCATGTACATAAACGGCTGGACGAGAGCAGTGCAGGGGCGGGTGGCTGTTTATAAACATCCTCCCGCTTCCCTGCCTGTGCACGCTCCATGGGAGCGTGCGGCACTGCAATCCGGTGCCCGCTGTGTCCGTAGGATACAGCGGAACACTGATCGCTGTATGGGACCTCTGTGTGAGGTCCCAATCATGTGATCACTGATTGGCCAATCAGTGATCACATGAATAGTAGTAAGTAAGATGTCACTTCTGACATCATTGCTTACTACTAGTGAAATCTGTGAATGATCACAGAGGTCACATGGTTCAAGGCTATTCACAACAGCCTTGTACCATGTGACAAGTTGTAACCAATCAGCTCGCACAGTATTTCTCAATGGCTGCAAGAATGCAGCCAGAGAGAAGGAGAAATGATTGCTTTTACAGCCTTTATGGGTGTAAAAGCAATCAGTGTAAAAAAAAAAAAAAATCTGCATCACCCCCTACAAGTAGTACAGTGTCACTTTGGTGACACTGTACTGTTATGGTGACAGTATGTTAAAAAAAAACCAAAACATAAATAATATAAAAAAAAAAAAAAAATGTAAACATTTGTTTTTGAAAAATTTTAATTTTTGGTTACAAACTAATCTGGGTTATTTTTTTTGTACTAAAAAGATAGCTGAATACATTTTGGCCAAGATTTATAAAGAAAGATTATTTATTTGCAAAATTTTATAAGAAAAACACCTTTTTTTCAAAATGTTTGGACCTTTTCACTTATATAGCAAAAAAAAATAAAAATCCCAGTGGTGAATAAAAACCACCAAAATAAAGTTTTATCTGTCTAAAAAAAATGCTAAAAAATTCATATGGGTATAGTGTTCAATGACCGCGCAATTGTCATTCAAAGTGTGATAGTGCTGAAAGTTGAAAATTGGCCTGGACAGGAAGGGGGTGAAAGTGTCCGGACTTGAAGTGGTTAATAAAGGAAGTTACTGTGACTTTTTCTTGTTAAAAAAACATTTCTCTCTGTTCTATAATTTAATGTGAACATAAAATATTGTTAATCTGGAAATCGTATTGCGAAAAGTGTAGGTTGATTAACACCACTTAATGCTAATTAATGTGTTAAGATATAGTTAGTAAGCCAACCTGAATATCAGTGAATGCTAAAAGAGACAGCACAGCACATCATCATCATCATCCCTAAAGCTGCGTGGAAAACCAGCAAAGCAGACTCTGGTAGTGAGAGAGTTAATGAGATGGATGTGATGTATGTGATAATTATGCAGTGATAGCAAAAATGGAAATTAATATACTGTTAATTATAAAATTATTCCCAGCAGCTGATTATACAGTATCATAAAATATGTAAGAGGTGGGGGGGGGGGGTGTAAGGTAAATGTGGGGGCTTGCGTCTTTCTGAAGACGGTCTCATTGAAATTTAGTGTACAAAGGGATGAAAAGAATTACCTTTGTAAGACTGTAACATCAAACACACTAAAGAAAAATGATCCTGATCATATCTACTGTATATGCTAAATAATACATTCCTTCCCATTTGTTTCCTAATACCTACAGTATTTGAGAGCGATTGATTTTGTAGAGAAATAGATTGATATGACCAATATAATTAATACACAAGCTTTTTTTTTTTTCATTTAGTACTTAAGTGTATCTCACATTTTTTGGGGAAAGGTTAGTACCTCTGTCAGCTTTTACTGCTATTTTGGACTGAATTGGAGAGACTTTCTCTTACTTAACTTCATATTATACTGTGGCCTACAGGAGGGTAGGACACCGGAAAACAAAAAAAATCTGTCGGCCTTCCCAAGCATAACCCCTTCTGCTACCAGCATGCCTCAGTTCTGTAGCAAAACAGTGCCGAGAGCATGGTTATGGTCATGAACACAGAAAAGTTGGGACCTGTGTACTTAATGGACTAGAAGAAAAGAATTTCATGATTACTGCAAAAATCCTATTTCTGTCTCATCTGTTAAGGGACACCGGAAGTCTTTGAACTTTGCAACATCCAAAACCAGTTAAAGTATTCTTTTATTCCAGGATCGCCAGCCAGAGAGTTGGTAGGCATCAATAAAAGTTTTTTCAGCAAAATAAATTACAACAGTTGTAGGGGTGGGGCTGGGGGCTGGGAAGGAAGTGTATATACCTCAGCTAACTGTTCAAAAGGCCTGAGCCCAAAAACTGCAGATACAAACTTGGTTTCTTAGACTGATGAGCAGGCATCTTAAAGTGTTTATAAAGGCATTTTTTAAAAATAAAATAATAAACATGTTATGCTCACCTGCTCTGTGCAATGGTATTACACGGAACAGCTCTGAACCTCCTCTTCTTGGGTCCCCTGCTGGCGATCGTGGCTCCTCTTCTGTGTCTGTCCCCATCACAAGCTCTTGCTATGAGACAGTCTTGCGGGCTGGATCCTGACCAGGGCTATGTGTGTCCATTGACAAACACAGCGTGACTTGGCCCCATTTTTTGTTCATAGGATTTGACTGAGAGCAGCCAGAGCCAAGCAGTCATGCTTGTAAGAGTGAGAGTGGGAGAGAGAAGAGAAGAGCAGCGGGCTCAGCGCTGGGTCGATACAGGACTCAGGAAAGTATTTGGGGGGGCAGAAGGGCACAGCAAGTAGCAGGTAATGCATTAAGGTAAAAAACATGTTACCTTTAGAACACTTTGACAATGCTCAATGTCTTTGGCTCTACAGACATCTCTAATTTAATGACTATATGTTCTCATACATCTTAAATAAACTCAATCACAACATACAGTAAACTATTGGAAAAATACAACTAACCATATAAAATATATGTTCCCAGTGGCTTCAGAAGGCTGATGCCTTTTCCAGTGTTTTCCCCACATAAGCAGTCAAGAACGATGTCTACACCCTCTGGTGAGATTCTGGAAGAGATATATTGTTCTATCTATTATTAAAAGTATACATAGATAGCATGTATTGTAAAGATAAATGTACAGTATATAACATTCTGTTGGGTCTACTTGTCAAACATTTAAAGAACTTCATGAGAATGTTTTTTTTTTCCCCATGCAGTAGGGCTGTGCCCACACTGCATGGGTTAACTGCTCGTTTTGTCCAGGGGTGAACCGAAAAGCTATACTTACCTGATCCTTTGATACTCCAGAAAACCGTGCTCCCCCACGTCCAGCGGTGGACTGTTCCTGCCGTCCTCAAATTCAGAGCTGGTCTATGAGCGTGATGACGTCAGGAACAGTCCATTCACATGACCTATAGCATGCAGGGGGCAGAAGCTGCAAATTAGGTAAGTATATCTCCACTCTGCAATTCCCTAAACAAAAATCGAGCAGTTAACCCATGAAGTGTGGGCACAGATCCACTGCATGGGAAAATAATAAATTCTTCTTTAATGGGGAATTAATCCAATATTCACCCAAACCTCTTGGGTGAACAATTAGGCTGATCCCCAGGCAGACATAAAATACATAAATTAATTCAGCTCTGTATTCATTTATATATTATTAAAATAAATATTTAAAATACAAGCAGTGCAAGTATGTGAATTTGACTTGGTATCAGCCTCGTGTGGTCTCTGTACAGTAGAATTCCAAATGGGTGAAGGAGAAGCAGCACAAGGAGCCAATCAGTTGTGCTTCAGTTAGATGTGCACCGAAATGAAAATTCTGGTGCTGAAACCGAAACCTAAAATTCAAAATGCACTTGGCTGAAAACCGAAACGCGCAGTTTTTATAAATGAATTCCTTTTTTTTTTTGGAAAAAATTACACTTTGATTAAAAAAAACAATATACACCCCAATTGTTTTGTAAAATATGTAAGAGGATGTTATGGCGAGAAAATAGATACCCAACATGTCACGCTTTAAAAATTGCGCACGCTCATGGAATGGCATGAAACTGCGGTACTTAAAAATCTCCATGGGTGGTGCTTTAAAAATTTCTACAGTTAGCAGTGTAAACTTACAGAGGAGGTCTAGTACGAGAATTATTGCTCTCGCTCCAACGTTCGTGGCGATACCTCACATGTGTGGCTTGAACACCATTAACATATGTGGGCATGGCCTATGTATGCGTTCACCACTATGTGCGAGCACGGGGCCCCCCCCCCCCGTGCTCGCACATAGTGGTGAACTTTAAACATATAGGGTCACTTTAGGGTCACTTTAAACTTTAAAAAAAAAAATTATTTAATGTTTTGTTTTTTTGCACTGTTCCTTTTAAAAAAATTATAATCACTTTTATTCTTATCACAAGAAATGCATGCATCCCTTGTGATAGAGATAGTGACAGGTCCTCTTTATTATTATTATTATTATTATTATACAGTATTTATATAGCGCCAAAGGGTATGCTCAGCGCTGTACAGTAGCAAGGGGGACAGAACATGAGACAAGACAGTAACAATACAATACACGAGGGGTTCGAGGGCCCTGCTCTTTCGAGCTTACAATCTAGGAGGGAGGGGAGGGTGGCACAGGAGGAGATGGCTGTGGGGGATGGAGTGGTGGGAGGAGTGGAGGAGGTTAGTTGTTAGGTGAGGTCGGGTGTTAGGTGAGGTTGGGGTAGGCTTCCCTGAAGAGGAGGGTTTTCAGGGTGCGCCTGAAGGTGAGGAAGGTATGTGACAGTCTGATGGATTGGGGTAGGGAGTTCCAGAGGATGGGGGAAGTCCTGGAGAAGTCCTGCAATCGGGCGTGGGAGGAGGAGACCAGGGAGCTAGGGAGCAGGAGGTCCTGTGCGGAGCGGACATTTCAAACTACAAGCTCAGTAAACACACATTGACAAGATAATAACAATGTAGTATAAAACCAGCAAATGTTCTTTTTTTTTTTTTTTCTACAGAACGTTTAGAGAACCTCTATCAGGTTTTTACAATCATGTTGGGGTGATTTCCCCCTCATTTCCTGTCCACTATAAACTAGACAGGAGACCTAAGTGTCCGCATTAGGCACGCTTTCAAGCAGTCACCATTTAAAACACACCTGCATTCAGAAAACATTAAAAACGTACATATTAAGGAATGTAGTTAAAGTTCATTTAAAGATGCCAAAAAAAAAAAAATCTACCCAGACACACACACTAGTGGCCAACCACATGATCAGTCTCTAAGACACTGGTCATGTGATCCTTGCAGGAGAATCTTACACTGCTTATTATTAGGCACAAGTAGCAGATGTGTCTATATTAAGCAGGCCATATCTTTATGGAGAGATATGGGGTCAATAAGACCCCACATCTCTGTTCTGCAATGTAAAGCATTAGATGAAAAACAAAGCATTGATCTAGTGCTTTTTAAAAAAAAGCAAAAATGGCGGAACAGGAAGTGACATCGCTCCGGTCCTCCAAGGGCATAGAAATGTGTGGCCGCCATCTTTCCTTCACACATCTCTATGCTCAGCGCCGGGATCAATGGTTTCTCAGGTAAGACTGAATTACCGTGTGGGTGGCTTTGAGGGGTGGGGGGGTTTTTGGCACCTGTATCGGTGCTTTTTTTCATTTCGTCCGACAGCCGAAAGGGGTGTTGAAATGTTTCGGTCACCGGAATTTCGGTGCATCCCTAGCTTCAGCGTAAGGTATGCTGCGGGGGCAGTTAGTTAGATGAGCTCATCATTGTGCTGCTTCTCCTTTCACTGTCTATTCACAGCATAGAGGTCATGAAAAGACCTGTAAAGGTTACTGCAGCAGAGAAAGACCGGTCCCTTCTTGTGTGGCGGAGCTGTGTAATCCTCAGGACTGGATGAACAGGAATGCAAACCTTTTGGCAGGTAAAATAGCTTCCTAATATGTATTTCCTTTTTGTATTTAGCCGCTTACCTGGGGTTTAGCTTTAAATAAACCTGCTGGGCAAAGCCCATGTTCACTTTAAAGACTGGATAAGGAGAAACCTTTACCATTTGGGCAGTGCAGTGGCTAAATGGTTAGCACTTCCACCTGGCAGTATTAGAGTTGTTGGTTCAAATCCCAGCCACGGCACTTCCTGCCTGGAGTTTGCATGTTCTCCCTGTGCCTGTGTGGGTTTTCTCCCACACTCCAAAGACATGCTGGTAGGTTAATTGGCTCCTGTCTAAATTGGCCCTAGTATGTGTATGTATGAATGTAGGTTAGGGACCTTAGATTGTATGCCCCTTGAGGGTTAGGGACTGATGTGAATGTACAGTATATATGTAAAGCGCTGCATAAATTGATGGTGTTATATAAGTACCTGAAATAAATATAGAATTATAAGGCAGATCAACCACATCTTCAAGAGTCCCTTTGCTGCTGTAGAATGTAAGAGTCCAGATATCACACACAGAGATACAGGAAAGCACAGTAGGATGTCATCTTACCTTTTTACCTCCTGCACATAATCTGCGTTTCTGTCAAAGAGATGATTGATGGAGTTTTTAATGGCCTCGTGTTTAAAAGCGGAAGCAGTTCCAAAAACTGTGACGTTTGGGAACGGTTGAACAGAGCTGAGCCACCGCTTGCCCCTAAAAAAATTAAACGTTACATTTACACATTTACAGGGTGCTGGTTAAAAATAACACAATATACAACATATAGAATCCAATATGTGTCTTCTCTTTATAGGTTATTTAACCACTTGCCCTCTGGACTAAGTGTCATTTATCTCCGCTGTCTAGTAACTCTGCTGTCTGCATCAGCCACTTCTGACAAGTTTTCCTGACACCAAGAGCTAAAAAGGTGATAGGGGAGGGATCTCCAGCACACAGCCAGTGATTGAATGCCTCAGCCCTGTTCCTGTGTGCTGTGTGAAAGGGGGGGGGGTGTCCTTTCCCTCCAATCAGCTGTCAGAGCTCTTTCACAATATTTAACCACTTGCCCTCCAGAAGACTTACCCCCCCCCCCCTCCTGACCAGGCCATTTTTTGCGATACAGCACTGCGTTACTTTAATTGACAATTGCACGGTCGTGCACCCAAATGAAATGTACGTCCTTTTTTCCCCACAAATAGAACTTTCTTTCAGTGGTATTTGATGGCCTGTGCGTTTTTAATTTTTTGAGCTATGAACAAAAAAATGCGGACAAATTTGAGAAAAAAAAACTACATTTTTTTACTTTTTGCTATTAAACATATAACCTTGTAAAGATACAAGTGACATCATCACTGTGCTGATTAGCAGCCAACACTGTCTCCAGCTCTCTCTCCTGGACCAACAAGATCTACCCTGTGACCTAACTAGCTCAGGCAGTAGGGCATAAGACCCCTAATCTCAGGGTTGTGGGTTTGAGACCCATGTTAGGTGTATGACATTGCAAAGGTTTTCATGGAGCTTAGTGGTCTGGGGAAGTGAGCTGGAGACACTGTGGGCTGCTTAAGTGAGCCATTCCTGAGGGGTGATTCTTACCTATTTGCGGCAGTGGTTCTCTGTTTACTGCAGGTGCATCTCTTTTTTAATTTACAACGTGAATGTCATATTTTTATTTATTAATAAGGGAAAATAATCAGTGAGCACTATGGAGGTTTGTTTCTGAGCTTGAGATTAAAAGAGAAGTGTGGGATTTAAAAAAAACCAAACACTCATACAAACAAATATACAAGCATGCTCACCTAGGTGGATGCACCAATGTGATGCTGAAAATAATATGCATACTGGTTCACTTTATTTTGGAGCACGTGTATATAGTTTTTCTTTAATGTGAGTGCATATGCCTAGTTTATTTAGAGCATATTTCATTTCAAATGGTGTTGCACAATAGAGACTATAGATATTTTCATTGGGGGAGGGTTCTGGATCCTGTCAGGAAGGCTGTATGGGGCCCCCGTGATTTCCAACAGCAGCCCAACAGGCTCCCAACAGGGATAAAGACACCATGGGATCCATTCACAAAAGCAACTCGCATGCGGTATTTAGGTGTCCGGAGACATTTTGCCTATATATCGCATGCAATGCTGAAACTGTCAAACCGCTATGTCGTTTTGCGGTATTTACCTGATACGCTCAGTAAATGCCGCATGAAAAGGTGGCAAACTAAATTCACAGATGGAAATAAAAAAATTAAATGCATGCGGTAATTAACCTCTTCACGCCGGCCGCACACAAACATGCAGACTCCTGGCGTCTGGGCCTAGACACCAAGCGGCCACACATTTACGTTCTATTAAAAAAGGACATACAGTATCTGCCAAGAGCGTGCGCCCTGCGCGCTCCCAGCACACATGCCCAGTACTCACGGAAAGGTCCCAATTTCCTCTTTCGAACGGAACCTTTCCCGATCATGTGACCGTCACGGCGATCACATGACCCTAAACCCTGCCCCGCCCCCCGGCTTCTGGAACCCTTAAAGGGCCAGGAGGCGCCAGCATGAAGGGGTTAAGTAGTGGTCCAGGCATGCGATATTTAAGAAATTAAAAAAAAATAATAGACAATTTGGAGTAATTTCTGCCTCTCAGCAGTAATGCACAAGAAACTAAATGTGGAAATCATTGGGGTTGATTTTCCTAAAAGAATAACTAAAGGAATTTTTTTCCCCAAAATTTTAAAAAATCCCAAATTTGGGGTTGTCCCCATAAAAGTAATAGAGGGGAAATCTTCCAATGGGGAAAAAATGAAATGGAAAAACAAAACAAAAAACTGACAGAGGTTATAACCCTCCCTAAGGCTGGCCATACACTATACAATTTTCTGTCCAATTTCCTTTAGATTTACCTTCAACTATGTAGTGCAAGGGCCTGTCTAATTGAATACAATTGAAAGTGTTGTTTAGGTTTGACCTTCTATTATATGGTTTTTGGTAAATCTAAACCAAAAATCTCAAGAAAATTGGATATTCTATGGCCAGCCTTACTCTATCCAAAATGAAAAAAAAATAGTAGTTTTGCTTATAGTTTTACTTTAAGGCAGAGTAGACAATTTGCAAGTTGCTCCACAGCTCAGTGTATGAATGAGGTAGAACTTCACTTTACAAAAAATACCCGATCACATGCAAGGAAAAAAAAACAACAGCATTTTTGCTTGCACATGATTGGATGATGGAAGTCAGCAGAGCTTCTTCTCATTTACTAAGCTCTGGAGCACCTTCACTTGCAAAGTGAAAATGCAAAATGTCAGTAAAAATCGCACTAAAGTGAATTTTAGGGCAAACATACGCAATAAATTACCTACATTTTTGGTAAAATATAAAAGATGAGGTTGTGCCAAGTAAATAGATACCCACCATGCCAAACCTTAAATTTATGTGCGCCTATTAAATTGCGTTGAATTTCAATACACTATATTTTCTATAGCCGACGCTTCAAAAGCCCCATCAGATCATCAGTTTAGTGTTACGGAGGATTACTGCTCTCACTCCAGCGTGCGTGGCAATATGTAACATCGACATTTTCACACATAGATGCTCCAACGCCTGCGTTTATGCTTGTATGTATATGTGGGGGTGGGGGCTTCAAATTTTTTTTTTGGAGGGGGATGTTATGTGCTTGGGTGTAACTTTATTTTTTTTACAAAAAAATATTTTTTTTTACTTAACTCTTTTTTTTTCATCACATAGGGGACACAAAGTCCCCTATGTGATAATTTTTTTGGTGACAGGTTCTCTTTATTGAGACATGCAGGGTCTCATGTCAGAGGGTGCATGTCTCCTCTGTAATCCATTGGATGTATTGCAATGCAAAAACGCATTGCAATACATCTTTCACCGGCTATTCTAGCCGGGAAAGTGACATCATGAACGTTCGTCCGATCTCCTCTCTCCCCTCCACCCGCAGGCACCTGCCACGGCTCTCCCTGGGCTCGAAGATGGGCAAGCGGAGCCTGGTTACATGAGGGGGTGCACTAGAGGGGAGGCACCATCGCCAGAGGCTGTGCAAGCGATCGGCACCAGTGGAGCCGCCTGACTGCTAACAACAGACAGGCAGGAGTCTGCCTGTCAGTTTTATACACCATCCCAATGATTGCAGAGTTGCTTGCCGAAGAGACATCTGTTGGTCCCAGGCTTCACTTGAACCTAGATGTGCCTGCCTTTTACTTTACGCAAGTGAGTGAATTTTCATTTGTCTTTTAACCACTTGCCTACTGGTCACTTATACCCCCTTCCTGCCCAGGCCAATTATCAGCTTTCAGCGCTGTCGCACTTTGATTGACAATTGCGCGGTCATGCAAAAAGGATTTTGCTAGCGCCCTACTTTATGATACACTATATTGCAAAAAGTATCGGGACGCCTGCCTTCACACGCACATGAACTTTAATGGCATCCCAGTCTTATTCCATAGGGTTCAATATTGACTGGTCCACACTTTGCAGCTATAACAGGTTCAAATCTTCTTGGAAGGCCGTCCACAAGGTTTAGGAGTGTGTCTATGGGAATGTTTGACCATTCTTCCAGAAGTGCATTTGTGAGGTCAGGCACCGATGTCAGATGAGAAGGACTGGCTCGTAGTCTCCGCTCTAATTCATCCCAAAGGTGTTCTATCAGGTTGAGGTCAGGACTCTGTGCAGGCCAATCAAGTTCCTTCACCTCAAACTCGCCCATTCATGTCTTTACAGACCTTGCTTTGTGCACTGGTGTGCATGTAGGAACAGGAGGGGGCCATCCCCAAAGTTGGGAACATGAACTTGTCCAGAATGTCTTGGTATGCTGACGCCTAAGAACTCCCTTTCTCTGGAACTAAGGGGCCAAGACCAACCCCTGAAAATCAACCCCACACCATAATCCCCCCTCCACCCAACTTTACACTTGGCACAATGCAGTGAGGCAAGTACCTTTCTCCTGGCAATCACCAAACCCAGACATGTCCACTGAATTGCCAGACAGAGAATTGTGATTTGTCACTCCAGAGAACCTGTCTGCACTGCTCTAGAGTCCAGTGGTGGCGTGCTTTACACCACTGCATCCGACGCTTTGCATTTCACTTGCTGATGTAAGGCTTGGATGCAGCTGCTTGGCCATGGAAACCCATTCCATGAAGCTCTCTACGCGCTGTTGTTGGGCTAATCTGAAGGCCAAAGTTTGGAGGTCTTTAGCTATTGACACTACAGACAGTTGGCGACTTCTGCTCACTGTGCACTTCAACATGCCCTGACCCCGCTCTGTCATTTTACGTGGCCTACCACTTCATGGCTGAGTTGCTGTTGTTCCCAGTTGCTTCCACGTTGTTATAATACCACTAACAGTTGGCCGTGGAATATTTAGTAGCAAGAGCATTGCACGGATGGACTTATTGCACAGGTGACAACCTATCACAGGACCACGCTTGAATTCACTGAGCTCCTGAGAGCGACCCATTCTTTCACAAATGTTTGTAGAAGCAGTCTGCATGCCTAGGTGCTTGATTTTATACACCTGTGGCCATGGAGGTGATTGGAACACCTGAATCCAATGATTTGGAGGGGTGTCCCAATACTTTTGGCAATTTAGGTGTCCTTTTATGACACAGAGAATAGCTGTGATTCAGAGGATCGCAGCTATTCTCTGGTCATTCACAGTTTATAACACGCAGGAGAACATGTTCAGCCGTTCACTGGAGATCTGTGTTCTCCCTCCAGATTCTCCAGCCCAGAGGTGGAGAATCAGAGGGACAACAAACTAAGCAGAGATAATTTACCTCTGCTTTAGTAAACTGATCTTTTACTGTAATCTAACGAGATTATAGTAAAATCAGCCATTTTTCAGCATTTGTAGACCGTTCTCCATTCGTTTGGAGAACTGATCTACATATGCTTCATAAACGGCATTCACAGGAGAACTGTGTTCTCCGAGAATGCCAGAGAACTGAGCAGCGATCTATTACTGCTGGTTCATAAACGGACACCATAGTGTATATTTAGCAGATTGAGCCGGGCTATTTGAAATGTGAAGAAATGATTTACATGACTTTCGTCAGTATTTTATTACCATTATGGAAATTTGTGTATGCCCTATTTCTTTTTAAAACTGGTGTGCTGACAGAAAAAAATCTGCATGAGTATTTACAGAGCTAATGAATATAAATGAAAGTAAAACAGAGTCATTTGATGTCCAACGTCCTATAAAGCATGGTGTTCACTTTCACTCGTTTACACATAATCCGTAAGGCTTAATAACGCTGGTATGCTTAAGCATTGTGCTCCACGTTATTATCCACGGCAAAGAAATAACCTCCTAAATCTCATTATGTGTTCTACGGAATGACAAGAATGAGAATGTGTTCTGTAGAATTAAGATCACAGCCTTTCATTCAGACACAGTTACTTGCAACGGCTTTGTGGTTGGGCTGGTGGTAAATGATTTAAACCTGAAGTCCAGCTTTCCCTTCAGTCTTGCACAGTTGTACCGGCTCCTCTCCAGTACGGAAATTGTTTACTCTGATTTCACTGCACACTGTGAGAAGCTCACAGTGTATATCAGAAGTCAAATGAAGCCCGCCTCATTTCCTATTCTGTGCCTTGTTATTCTGCATCTCATATAAATGCAATAGCTTCACCCTCTACATGAAGGCTTGACAAAGAGGCATGTCCACCTTGAGTCGCATAGCCAGCCCTGGTCCACAGAGTCCTCCACTTTCGGTTCTTTGAATTGCATGGCTTCCTGATGTTACAGAGGATCCTGGGCAGAGGCAGTATCTTACACTTTGCCTGGACATTGGAGACATGGATGAATGGGGGAGTTTGTATTTTTGGTTTCTGGTGCTCAGATGAAGTGTAGTTCCACTTTATTGTATGGCCTGCCTTAGACAAACTTATTGCTCCTGCTTTCAATTTGCTTTATCTAATAAAGACAGACAATCTGACATGTTTATTTCACAGGGTTCTATTGATCTTTATGATGGCTAAATTAAGCTGACCATACACTGTAAGATTTTTCTCTTTCGGCTTTTTTTGTGTAGCGTGGATGGAGGAATCTCCACTGCCAGCTATTGTACTGACACAGCCAGTGCCTGCATCTGTCAGAATACCCAAACAGTGGCTGCATCTGATTGAAGGTGGGAGAGTGCTGACTGGGACAACCACGGCTTGAATGTCAGCCTGTTAATCAACAATTGTCCAAAATTCACAACCTTAGACTCCTGCACTTAAAGTGATATTAAAGTCTATTTTTTTTTTTCTTTTTAAACTAACAAACATGTCTATACTTATCTGCTTTGTGTAGTGGTTTTGCACAGAGCAGCCCCAATCCTCCTCTTCTCAGGTTCCCCACCGGTGCTCCAGGCCCCTCCCTCCTGTCGGGTGCAAAAATAACTTGCTATGGGGACTTCCGAGCAGGCGCACTCCCAAGCAGCGGCTCTGTGTGCCCATTCACACACAAAGCAGTGGCTCGGCCCTGCTCTGCCCCCTCCCTCTCCTGATTGGCTTATTGGCTGAGATTGACAGCAATGGGAGCCAACCAGGAGTGAAAGTCCCCGGAGAGCTGAGGCTCTTGTGGACATTGCTGGATCAAGAGGAGGCTCAGGTATGTGTTAGGGGGCTGCTAGACACAGAAGGCTTTTTACCTTCATGCACAGAATGCATGAAGGTAAAAAAAACCTTGAGACTTTAGAACCACTTCAAGTCATAAACAATGTACAGGTAAAATTAGATTTTTGCCCAGAATCGGGCTTCACTTACCACTCCTCCACCAGCAGAATGGACAAGGACTGACATCCCTTCCCTGAGATTGGCCACTTCAAACAACATCATGTAGGCTGTGACAAAGTTCATAGGGAAGGCAGCTGCTTCTGAGAAGCTCATACCATCTGGGATCTTATAGACAAACTCTGCAGGGGTGCAGGCCACTTCTGCCCATGCGTTGTAGTTGACAAAGGCCATAACTCTGTCCCCAATCTGGAATAAACAATATAACACATAATGGTTACTTACAGACTAGTGAACAAAACAATCGCATTTTCCATTGTGCACTGCCATGTCAGGAAGTTACAGAGACAGAGAAACATACATGGAAAGTCCTTCTGTGCTCTGCTGTAACCCATAGTGCTCAGGGGATCTTTTTCATGTATGTAAGCTGTACTAAAGCAGTATTAATCACAAAAGCAATCATTATTATTATATATATATTATATTGCAGCTTACCAATTCTTAGATGTGATGGCTGCATTAGTTTTCTTAAAGTGGAACTGCACTGTATCTGAGCACCACAAAATAAAAATACTATTTAATTCGTTGTTAATATTCAAAGCAAACTTCCCCATCCATCCATGTCTCCATGCTTTATTTTTGCTAAGAAATCATTTTAAAAAACATCCCCCGGCATTTCTGGCAGTGGCCATCTTGAGTAAGGGCAGAGGATTCATGTAGCATTTACTTCCTGGAATCCATCTGCCCTTAGTTCAGGCATTGACTGGGCTGAGAACCCTCCCTGCCCTCCTGAAAACTGCTGGGATGCATGACATCATTTGCCTAGGCATGGAAACCAGGTAGTAACTGAAGAAATGTAAAAAAAAAAGTTTAAAACGAGTAAATATGATATACTTTCCTATCCATTTACAGCACACAGATTAAAAATAGTCAATGCTGATGGAGAGACTTTAATTAGGCTTCTCTTAGGAGCCTGTACAGCATTGTACCTGTGATCAGTGGATCGCCAATCACAGCCAGTGAGCCAATGAGAAGATAGCGGGGGGGGGGGGCAGGTCGCGGCTCTATGTGTCTTATGGATGCATAGAGCTCTAATAAGCAGGGCCCTCTGTTTCCTCTTGTACCAAATTATATTATAGCTGTAATGTCTACCTTTATTTTGTAAAGCTCTGCGCAAACTGCTGGAGCTATATAAATCCTGTATAATAATAATAATATAGAGGCGGCTTGAAGACAAGCATGCAGTGGCACTGCTTGAGTGGGAGGAGCCAGGGGCACTGGTGAAGACCCAAAAAGAAGAGTATCTGGGCAGCTCTGTTCAGAACCATTGCACAAAGCAGGTAAGTATATAAGTATAGACATGCTTGTTATTAAAAAACAAACAAAAAAAACCCCAAAGCTTTAGTGTCACTTTAAATTGCGTAAGGGGTTCTTTACTGTCAGAGTGGCAAGGATGTGGAACTCCTACTCCCTTCCATAATTGGTGGTGTCATCGGGAAGTGTCAATAAAAAAACTCTTAGATGGGCATTTTAGCAAACACAATACACAGGGATATGGGAAATGGTATTGACATAAACACACGCACCCACATATGTTGAACTGGATGGACTGGTGTATTTATTCAGCCTTACCAACTATGTAACTATAAATACAGACGTAGCATGTAACATGTTACTAAAGGTAAACTTAGCCTTTAAAAATGTATTTTTCCGAAAGATCAGCTTTAAAGCCGACCTCCAGGCAGATGAATACATACAGCATATGGGAGCTGTTTACCAACCAAACAATTGGAACTTCTGTCCATCCAGCACTGAGAAGTACACAGTTCTGGCACACAGCACAGCCCTGTCTGGCAGGAACAAAGAACTGATTTTAATTGCTGCAGTTATGTAACGCTCTTGTCTCTTCTACAGCCTGTACCTGGAAGTTAAAAGGAGAAGCAGCAGATTGCTGAGCTTATTTCTTAAGCAAGCTATAGATGATGCAAACTTATTTACTGCAACCACAAGTTGCAGAGAAGAAAATTGCTCGATTCCCCCATCAGCACAGTCAGTATTGATGGGGGAATCCCTCCCGCAGCACTATTGTGTTCTGTTGGCTCACAGCCTTCCCTGCCGGCAGAATACAATTATCACTGCCGGCAGCTATAACAGCTGGCAGAAACTGCATGCAAAAAATCCAACAGGCTTGTCATACTAAATTCAATTGATCAATCAATCAGCTTCAGTACAACTAGTCATCCCATAGATATATCAAATCTCAGCCCATCCCTGCTGAACTGGATGAGATTTGATCCATCTATGACCAGCTTTAGTCATTCTGCTCTCTCCTCCTATTAGCATGTCTCCTGTTAGCACACAAACACTCTAGACACGTTTGACAGGCTCCTTGTGAGTTGTTTTTCCCTCTCCCAGTCTGAGCTCTGCTATACAGAAACTGCAAGAAGCCAAAACCAGTTCAGGTATATACACTGGTGTCATTAAAAAAAGATGCACTTCTAAAAAAAAATTAAAGGAATACTTTTTAATCATAGTATAGCATCAAGTCAATTAAACTCCTGGGATATTGATCTGCTCAGTTAAATAGCACAGGGGGTTGTTAATCAGTTTCAGCTGATTTGGTGGTAATTAAATTACCAACAGGTGCACTAGATGAGCAACAATGAGATGACTCCCAAAACAGAGGCCACTGACATTTTTTTCCCTACTCACTCTTCTGTTTTTCACTAATGTTGCTAGGGTCAGTGTCACTACTGGTAGCATGAGGCCATACCTGGACCCTACAGAGGTTACACAGGCAGTACAACTCCTCCAGGATTGCATATCAATACGTGTCATTGCCAGAAGGTTTGCTGTGTCTCCAGCACAGTCTCAAGTGCATGGAGGAGATTCCAGGAGACAGGCAGTTACTCTAGGAGAGCTGGACAGGGCCGTAGAAGGTCCTTAACCCATCAGCAGGACCAGTATCTGCTCCTTTGTGCAAGGAGGAACTGGATGAGCTCTGCCAGAGCCCTACAAAATGACCTCCAGCAAACCACTGGTGTGAATGTCTCTGACCAAGCAATCAGAAACCGACTTAATGAGGGTGGCCTGAGGGCCAGACATCCTCTAGTGGGCCCTGTGCTCACTGCCCGGCACCATATTGGCATTTGCCATTGAACACCAGAATTGGCAGGTCCGCCACTGGCGCCCTGTGCTTTTCACAGATGAGAGTAGGTTCACGTTGAGCACATGTGACAGACATGAAAGGGTCTGGAGAAGCCACGGAGAATATTACACTGCCTGTAACATCATTTAGCATGACCGTTTGGTGGTGGGTCAGTGATGGTCTGGGAAGCCATATCCATGGAGGGGCGCAGACCTCTACAGGCTAGACAATGGCACCCTGACTGCCATTAGGTATCGGGATGAAATCCTTGGACTCATTGTCAGACCCTACACTGCTACAGTGGGTCCTGGGTTCCTCCTGGTGCATGACAATGCCCAGCCTCATGTGGTGAGAGTATGCAGGCAGTTCCTGGAGGATGAAGGAATTGATACCACTGAATGGCCCCCACGCTCGCCTGACCTAAATCCAATAGAACACCTCTGGGGTATCATGTTTCAGTCCATCCGATGCCACCAGGTTGCACCTCAGACTGTCCAGGGGCTCAGTAATGCCCTGGCCCAGATCTGGGAGGAAATACCCCAGGACACCATCCGTCGTCTCATTAGGAACATGTCCCAATGTTGTCAGGCATGCATACAAGCAAGTGGGGGCCATACAAACTACTGAGGACCATTCTGAGTTACTGCAATGAAATTTAAGCAAAATGGACTAGCCTGTTGCATAACTTTTTCACTTTGATTTTCGGGGTGACTTTGAATTCAGTCCTCTGTAGGTCGATCATTTTCATTTCCATCAAATGATGGGACATCCTTACATTCCCAACACATTACCCCTTCCATATCAGTATAGATATCCAGCATGAGATTTTTCCCCATTGAGATCTGATGTGTTTTCAAAGTGGTCCTTTCATTTTTTTGAGAAGTGTATATACATTTAATGGTGTGTTAATGAATACAAAAATTGAGTCTTTTCTATCCCCCTGGAGAACAATCCTAATATTAGTCTACAACTGGAACTTTTTCCCCGTCTATTTGTATTCCTTCTCTTTACCTCCCAGAGCATTTGCAGCAGCTAAAGGTGTCTTTATCGGTGTCTCATTTGTTGTGATCGATGCTTCTTTGTTCAGGCAGCACAGATCTAATTGTACAAAAGATTATAGACTTGACTTCCGAGCAGGAGAGAAGATCATAATGCCGCTTCCCCTTGTTGGCTCTGCAGCAAAAAGGTCAAATGCGCTCTGTGGTCACGTTTTTAATTACCGTCCTGCCGGGAGCGGCCGCGATTCGTTTTACCAAGAAGGTTGCTATGGAGAAGAAAGATGTGTCTTCTCCCCGCAACATACAAACCCGACTTTAATTATAACTGAAGAAGGAGCACCCAGTGTCTTCTCCTGCGTCTCCCCTAATTACTGACACTTCTCCCAGCTCCTTTATTCTGATTACTGATGGTCTAGCAGAAGGTTCTACACTGATGGATCTAGTAATGAGACAACTTAATCACTAACAACACATCTTCATTGACAAGCTGTACTGTGCAGAATCCCAAAGCAAATATTTTCTGAATTGCAACAAAAGAAGTCATGTGGGAAATGGTTTAATAAAGGGTTTCCTCGTTACCTATCAATAAGCAGATTTGTTCCAGGATTGAAGCACAGACAGTCCATCTTTCATACACTTAAAGGATAAGTTCACTTTTCATAACATGTTACATGTCACACTAGGGCTGCCACCTCATCCCTTTAAACCCGAACACATATTAACCACTTCCAGTCCGGACACTTTCACCCCCTTCCTGTCCAGGCCAATTTTCTGCTTTCAGCGCTATCACACTTTGAATGACAATTGCGTGGTCATGCAACACTGTACCCATATGAATTTTTTTAGCATTTTTTTGAGACAGATAAAACTGTATTTTGGTGGTATTTATTCACCACTGGGATTTTTATTTTTTTTTATAAAATTTTGCAATTAAATCTTTTTTCATAAATCTTGGACAAAATTTATTCATTTATCTTTTTAGTGAAAAAAAAAATAACCCAAATTAGTTTCTTTTTTTTTATTCCATAACTTTTATTAGGATCAAAAAGACAAAACAAATCAAAAATACAACATGGAGGAGATAACAAAAGGATCGCAATGATCAAGTTAGATAGAAAGACACAATGTTTTAGATGATACAATTTGTCTGAAATTCACAATCAATCAATAACAAGATGGGAGAATTAAACAAATTAGTTTATAACCAAAAATTATAATTTTTCTAAATTTTTTTTTACATTTTAATTTTTTTTTCTATATTATTATTTATGTTTTGTTTTTTTTTTACATACTGTCACCCTAGCAGTACAGTGTCACCATAGTGACACTGTACTACTTGTGGGGGGTGACGAAGATTTTTTTTTTTTTTACACTGAATTTTTTAGCCTTTTTTTGAGACAGATAAAACTTTATTTTGGTGGTATTTATTCACCACTGGGATTTTTATTTTTTTGCTATATAAATGAAAAAGTCCAAACATTTTGAAAAAAAAGTGTTTTTTCTTATAAAATTTTGCAAATAAATAATCTTTCTTCATAAATCTTGGCCAAAATGTATTGAGCTATCTTTTTAGTAAAAAAAATAAATAACCCAAATTAGTTTATAACCAAAAATTATAATTTTTCAAAAAAAGTTTTACATTTTTTTTTTTTTTAATATTATTATTTATGTTTTGTTTTTTTACATACTGTCTCCCTAGCAGTACAGTGTCACCATAGTGACACTGTACTACTTGTGGGGGGGTGATGAAGAATTGTTTTTTTTTTTTTTTTGTACACTGATTGCTTTAACACTCATAAACGCTGTAAAAGCAATCATTTCTCCTTCTCTCTGACTGCATTCTTGCAGCCACTGAGAAATACTGAGTGAGCTGTGATTGGTCACAGCTTGTCACATGGTACAAGGCTGTCGTGAATAGCCTTGTACCATGTGACCTCTGTGATCATTCACGGATTTCACACGTAGTAAGCAATGATGTCAGAAGTGACATCTTGCTTACTACTCTTCATGTGATCACTGATTGGCCAATCAGTGATTATATGATCGGGACCTCACACAGAGGTCCCGTACAACGATCGGTGTTCCGCTGTGTCCTCCTCCCAGGGAGTGCGCACAAGCAGGGAGCGGGGAGGATGTTTATAAACGGCAACCCACCCCTGCACCGCTCCCGTCCGGACGTTTATATACATGGGCTAGACGGGAAGTGGTTAATTATGCAGGTTCTGTTGCTGAATAGGTTCACACCTAAGCGTGTTTTGCAGAAATGCAGTACAGTCCATTTAATGTGTTACTAAACCCACAACAGTACAATCAGTCTGTATATGCAGTAAAGCATGCTTGTTATACTCACTATGGAACTAAAGGGGTTAATCCTCTGTATTGTGTAAAAAGGCTGTTTGATCCTGTCTTCTCTGCCCCTCCTCTTGTTGAAATGACCACCTGATACAGACTGAATTTGTAGTCACATGCACATACTCAGTTTGGTGTGCATTGCTAGAGAGTTTGTTTTTTGTTGGGAGAGTGAATGTGATCAGCACAGGGCCAATCAGCACTGTCCAGACAGAGGGTCAGGACTTTCACATCCTCCTAGAGCACTGGTATCAAACTGTTGGCCCTCCAGCTGTAGCTAAACTACAAGTCCCATGAGGCATTGCAAGACTGAACGTTACAAGCATGACTCTGATTGGCAGAGGCATGATGGGACTTGTAGTTTCGTAACAGCTGGAGGGCTGCCAGTTTGACACCCCTGTCCTACAGCAGAAAGAAAACTCCTCCTGTAAGCTTTGACCAGTGCCCTGCTGAAGTCACAAGACTGCTCTAACTGCTGATGAGGAAAGGGTATTTAGCAGTTTACATTTACTGAAATAATTGTATTTCTATGTTCTGTGTACTGTGGGAGACCAAATATAGTGAATGCAGGGTCCGGGGAGACCAGATATAGTGAATGCAGGGTGCTAGGTTTAGTAACACTTTAACATAATTTCCTATGGGACATGTTCACATCTGCGTGTTTTCACCCGGTGCGTTTTTTGGAAAGAGTCAAGGACTTTTTTGAATGCAAAAAGTTGCGTTTTTGGTTCTATAAACTTTAATGGAAAAATGGAAAGAAAAATGTAAAAAACAAACAAACAAAAAAAAAAAAAACGTGGCAAAAACACAGGTGCAAAAACGCAATGCAGAAACGGCTCAAACACAACCTATATAGGTGTGAACCTAGCCTTAGTGCCTTCCCTGTATTAAATTAGCCTCAGAACCTGTGTAATTAATATGCGTTCGCGTTTAAAGGAATGAGATGGCAACCCATATTCAGGGGGGCAACATGTTATGAATAGACCAGCCCCCGCTCCCCCAATTTGACAGCTAGCGGGGGATTCTCTCCTTCCACTAGCTGTCAAACTTTAAACAAAATGCGGCTGTGACGCGGCTCCACCCACCTGCCCGCGTCAATCATTCACAGTCCTCTATGAATCAGAAACTACAAGTCCCAACATCCTTAGCAGCTGTCAACTTGTAGTTTTCAATGAACTGCGCTGTGATTCTTCCTGTCAGTTTATCAAGCTTTAACATGTGCTCTGCTGGACCCTGATAGAAGTCACAAGACTGCTCTAACTGCTGATGAGAAAAGGTATTTAGCAGTTTATATTTACTAAAATAATTGCATTACCATGTTCTGTGTACTGTGGGAGACCAGATATAGTGAATGCAGGGTCCTGGAGACCAGATATAGTGAATGCAGGGTCCTTGGAGACCAGATATAGTGAATGCAGGGTCCAGGAGACCAGATATAGTGAATGCAGGGTCCGGGAGACCAGATATAGTGAATGCAGAGTCCTGGGAGACCAGATATAGTGAATGCAGGGTCCAGTGGACCAGATACAGTGGATGCAAGTTCCTGGGTTTAGTAACACTTTAACTGGAATTCTATTATAAAGTTTATCCAAACCAACATAGCTAGTAGTGATTAGTTACACTCAGTTGGACTTGTTCTCCTTAGGCCCCTTTCACACGGGGTGGACTCCATTGAGATTAGCAGGGAATCTGTCCGCTAATCTCTTTCTGATCTCAGGAGAGCGGGAGGATGGTAGGTCCGTGCCCATTCAGTTTATACGGAGCGGGTACAAACACTGCCGCCTCTGCTCTATGGGTGGTCAGGTGAATATGGTCTCTGTGTCCGTTTACACCCAATTGCCCTCCAATCCACTTAAACGGGGGGGGGGGGGGGGGAAATTCCCTTCTGTTTTTTCTTAGCGGACTGGATAGACTTGGAAGTAGGTGGGTGTAAGTGGACATAAGTCACCAGTCCAGAGTGGTGGATGGAGGATTCGATCAGGTCGGCATGAAAAACTGGCAGGCAGACCTGATCGGACCATTCATATGAAAGGGGCCTTATTCAGTTCTAATAAATGTCAAGAACAGAGAGGGCAACTGGTTCACAGGAGGCATGAAAGAGGTCATCTACATCAAACTGGAAGACTCATCCCTAAACAGGGGTGGGAGCCCTCAACATCACATATAATGCTGTTTTAACATCTGTACCCTGACTTTGATTAGGGGATCATGAGCATCAGTATACAACACCCAGTCATTTTGGGGCAAAGCCACATAGTTGACTGTGGTGGGGAGAAGGCTTTCAAAACCTGGCAACATGCAAATACGGCTGTGTTCAGAAAATAATAAAAAAACCTGAAAGGGGTTCTAAGTGTTCCCTATATAGGCAAAAAAAAAATGGAGTTTTGGCTATAGATACACCCACATGCCAAATGACATCTGACATAGATAAAATAATACCTCAAAGCCAGTAACATTGGCTCCAAGAGCCTCAATTATTCCAGATAGCTCAAAACCAGGGACCAGCGGTGTTTTCGGAGGATTGTCAATGTTTCCTTGTCGGACCATCAAATCAATGAAGTTCAGACCACTACACAGGAAATAAAAAAAGAAATCATATTATTACAATTAGGATAATCACAACTGGTCCAGTGAAAGCAAAAAGATTTAACTTTTTTTGCGAGATTGAAATGGAACTCAAACCATATTTTGGCTTTGGATAAAGCATCAAATATAGCTGTTAGATAGCAGCTGTTAGAAATGGTTTGTGGTTGGACATGCTAAATCTCCCTTTTTTGATGCATATGGGCCAAAGGAATGGGCTCAAATAGCACTGAATTGCATATGAATTGCACAGGAGTGTGTGATTCATAGTGTGAACTGAGGGCAAGCAATGTTTTCATTAGCACACTGAGCATGCTCTATGCCAGTTGTCACATTACACTCATGCTACATATTTTTGTATACTCTGAGGCCTCTTGCACATTTAACCTCCCTAGCGGTCTGATTATGTCCATATTTCTGTGCTCAAAGCGGTACTTTTTTTTTTGCATGGAAATATGTATTTTTTTCATTTTAGGCCTGTAATTTTTAGGAATAACTCATTGAAATCTGAACAAGAGTCTAGTAAACATCCCGGGTATGTTAAAATTTGAAACACAAAATCATAAATTATAATTTAATAAAAAATCCTAAAAAATAATAATATAATAATAAATTTAATTCAATAATATAATCAAACCAAAAACACTGAAATTTGAAATATAGCGCCAAGTTCGCACATCACTGAGCAAAGTCGCAAAATCGTTTTCAGTGTCTGATGACGAATTTCCCCACGAATCATTATCACTCAATTCTGCAAGTGGTTCTGATTTACTATCGCTGTTCCCTAGCTGGTCTAAAACCGATTTTGACCTAAAGGGACGCTTTTTGGACACCATGGACATTTCTCAGTTTCCAGGCAGAAAGAACAGTAAAAATGCAGGCAGGGCACAGGACAAAGCACTCGGGACAAAATGTATGTGAAATGGTTTGATACAGTAATGTTTTACTATGTGTAGGTCAAAGCGTATAGTGGGATCAAACCCTCAGATCCTCTCAGCATCTACTGATGTCCACTGATCCACTTTCCCCATCCATAGATATCCTTCTCTAGGGGTCGATAATCAAGCAGTGGCTCCTCTTATGGGGTATGGGGTGAGCATAGAGAAACACACATGTGAAAGAACAGCAAGGAGGCACATACCCATACCCCATAAGAGGAGCCACTGCTTGATTATCGACCCCTAGAGAAGGATGTCTATGGATGGGGAAAGTGGATCAGTGGATATCAGTAGATGCTGAGAGGATCTGAGGGTTTGATCCCACTATACGCTTTGACCTTCACGGGTCGAAGCCTGGAGGTAAGAGGCTAATCTAGCCGTGTGTTGGAGTTTCTGCACCTGGAGTCACTTTATGATCACGTGTGCTTGCAATTGCAGTAGTGGTGTCACTCACCCATTGGACATTTTTCTACACATTTTTTTATTTTTGTTTGCGTTTTAGTGTGAAATTTTTTGCACTATATTTGCACGATTGATCACAGTTTTATTATTACAATCATTTATTGTTTTTCATGTGTAAGAATTTTTCACAAGATTGCTAATACACTGTGTTTAAACACTATGTTTTTTATGATATTAGCTTTAATATATATTTTTTGATCACTATGACCACTTGATTATTATATTTATATTCATCTCACGGGGTGTATTATATGTGTTATATATATTTAGAAGTTTTTTTGATTAGTATTTTTATTTTAAGTTTTATGAGTAGCGCCACATTTTTTGACTTTTTATTTCTTTAGATCATGGGTATATGATGTAGTGTTGGCGGCTTCTCTCTTTAGTTCATTGAATACAATTTTTGGTGTATAGTAGTGTGAGAGGTTCACACCATCCCTGTTAGTTCATATTATTTTTTATATTTCATATTATTTTTTGGTTATTCAGTAGCGCAGGAGGTTCACACCATCCTTGTTAGTTTTCACAAAATATCGCCGTTTTTGTGGTGAAATTGGTCCCATAGGAATGAATGGTGGAATGTTGAAAACTAGAGTGGGAGCTGACAAAAGCTAGAGTGTGAGCTGAAAAATCGGGACATGATTTCTAAACTGCCATCACTCCCTCATTTTCAAGCCCACCTACACAAATCTTATATCAAAACGTCCAGCTATCCCTGCTGCCACTAAAAATGTCCACAGCTAAGCCATAGTCCTGATAGTTTTCACAATATGACCATTTGTTTGCAACTCACGCCGCCCATTGACATTCATTGAAACTGTACTCTAGCCACCTCAAATTTGAAGGGCAATTTCTAAACTGCGACTGTGCCTTCATTTTTAATATTTCAGAGACATACTATGCATCAAAATGTAGGTCTGGGTCTTGTGATTCTCACAATACAAAGGTGGAGGCAAGAACACCTCACACAATTTCCCCAGAAATTGTAGCTTTTCTAGTTTTTATATATAATTGTATTATATTCAACTTTTCAATTAATATCATAAATTTACAAAATACAAACCAGTAACTTAAAATAACGTTTATTGAAAGTAACACACAAAAAATTGGACAGAAAATAAAATGAAATATATATCAAATTAAAAATCGTAAAAACTGTAACTGATGACTTTTAAAAAACAGCCACTCACCAATCCCTCGATCCAGAAATGTACTCACTGCAGACAGTTTCATCGACTGTCCTCGCTCCCTGGGATCCTCAGTGTGGGCACCCAGCTATGACAGTTTGTGGCTTCACAGCCGGGTGCCCACTGCACATACGCAAGTAGTGCTGCGCCTTGTGAATGATTAAGTAGTCCCGTGTCCCAGACGACTACGGGGAGGGAGGAAGGGTACAACTTCTGCTTCTGATCGCCTAGGCAATCATAGCGGAAGTGGGAGCAGGTACCTGTCAAAATCGGGTACCTGCTTTCCAAAGGTGCCAATTCCTCACGGAGAGCCAATACTTAAAGTAGAATGGATGGAGCTCTGCTTTAAATTGACATTTTTGCATTGAAGTCACAAGCAGTCGTTTTTGCATTGTAGTCAATATGACGTGATTTTTGCATTGAAGTCAATATGACTTGATTTTGCATTGTAGTCAATAGGACGTGATTTTGCATTGAAGTCAATAGGGTGTGATTTTGCATTGAAGTCAATGGGACAGACACAAAGAACTGGAAATTTATGTTGGTATTAAACCCAAAACCGAAAATGTAATACAGTCATGACCAAAGATATTGTCACCCCTGCATTTCAGTCAGATAATGCACCACTTTGCCCCCAGAAAATGATTGCAATCCTGTAAAGATGTGCAAACACAGCTTTAGGCATTCTTATGTTAATTTCTTTTGTTTGTATTGTTATGACACAAAAAAGTGGAGAAACAAAACAGCAAATTTGACACATTCCACACAAAACCCCAAAAATGGACTGGACAAAATTATTGGTACCTTCTAAAAACTGTAAGAAATAATTGCATTCTAATGCAGGCCATAGATGGGTCGTTAATCGTCCGATTTTTCGGGCGAAAGAAAAATCGGCCGATTTTCGTACCGTTAGTGGATTAGTTCATTGGCCGTTTTTCGTGTATTTTGCACTTTCAGATTATCGGTTATGTTGGGAAATTTGCGGCCGATTTTTCCCGGCAATGATGGGCAAATCGGACGATCGTTTTAACAATAAAAAAATTTGCGCATGAGCTGTGACCTGAGAGGGACAGAAGTTATGGGGTGAACTTTATGATTTAGTCGGACGATTTTTTCACGATTCGTTGGTGGTAACGTTGGCCGAACGAACGACCGATTTTCCGTTTATTGTTCGAAAAATCGTCCGATGTTCGACCCGTCTATGGCCTGCATTAGTTTGTGATGGTCCTGTAATTTGTAATTAAACTCACCTGTATCAATTAACAGGTGCTGACAATATAGAAATCACTCCGGCAACCAGTTAAAATGGTGAAAATTTACCCCACCTTTCTGTTGTGTATCTGTGTATGCCACATGGAGTATGGAGAAGAGAAAGAGCAGCAAAGAATTGTCTGAGGATTTAAAGTGCAACTCCACCCAAAATGGGAAGTTCCGCTTTAAAGAATGGTCTCCAGCTCCCCATTAAGGAATGGCACCTTTGGGGAGCGGGTACCCGAAATTGACATGTAACCACTCCCACTTTCACTGCGATCACCTAGGCAAATGGAAGTGGAAGTTGTCCTTCCCCCTCCCTTCCCATGGTCTTCTGGGACACATGACAGATCCAAGAAGACTACGGGGCCATTCACAAAGCGCAGCGCTACTCATGCATGTGAAGTGGGCACCCGGCTGTAAAGCTGCAAGCTGTCACAGCCGGGTGCCCACATTGAAGATGCCGGTGCCGGGAACACAGGGCGGCCAGTGAAATGGGCTGCGAGGAGGACACTGCGGGATCGTGGGCAGGGGCGGACTGACAACTCATGGGGCCCCCCGGGCAATAGGGGATCATGGGGCCCCTGTGTCCTTGCCCAAACTCAAAAAAGCCTATGAAAAAAGTACCAGGGGCATCTCATGGGGCCCCTTACTGACCCCGAGCCCTCGGGCAGTGCCCGAGTTTCCAAATGCTCAGTCCGCCCCTGATCGTGGGACAGGTAAGTGGCTATTTTTTAGTCTCCATGCACACGGGGGCATTTTAATAACACTGGTAACTTTAGCTGTGTAAAGTCATGTTAAAAACATGAGTTTTTTCAGTGTTTCTTAGCATTTTTGCATTAGCGTTTTTGCCGTTTAGCATTTTTTTGCGTTTGCTAAAATTTTTTTTTTGCTAAAAAAAAAAAGTCCAAAAACACCAATTTGCCACCTTATTCAGCGTTAGAGCATTTTTACAGCTAAAAATCTCCTCTAGAAACCCACTAGTTCTTTTTTTTTTTTTTTTTTTGCTCAGCCAAAATACGCCCCTGCCAAAAACGTTGATTACAGCCTATATATGCATGGACACATAGGATAACATGCTGGGGGGTTTACTAGCCGTAGAAAAAAAACATTAAAATCCAAAAACAGCCGCTGTAAAAACATCCAGTGTGCATGAGGACTTAATACTCAGAAGCTACAGTTTTTGTAGCTGCTGACCTTTATTTTTTTACAGTTTGACTGGAACTCTGCTTTAAGAACAAAAATTGTGGAAAGACATGGACAATCTCAAGGTTACAAATCCATCTCCAGAGATCTTAATGTTCCTGTGTCCACTGTGCGCAACATTGTCAAGTTTACAGCCTGTGGCACTGTAGCTAATCTCTCTGGATGTGGATGAAAGAGAAAAATTGATCAAATTTGTTTTTTTGTTTCTCTCCACTTTTTTGTGTCATACGAATACAAACAAAAGAAATAAACACAAGAACGCTTAAACATTCGTAATTCCAACAATCTTGTACACCCCCATTGAGGGTTAGGGACTGATGTGAATGTACAATATATATATGTAAAGTGCTGCGTAAATTGACGGTGCTATATAAGTACCTGAAATAAATAAATCTTCTGGGCGAAGTGGTGCATTACCTGACAGAAATGCAGGGGAGCAGGGGCGGACTGACCATTCGAGCACTGGGGCAGTGCCCGAGGGCCCGGGGTCAGTAGGGGGCCCATGAGATGCCCCTGGTACCTTTTTCATAGGCTTTTTTGGGTGTGGACGAGGACACGGGGGCCCCATGATCCCCTATTGCCCGGGGGCCCCATGAGTTGTCAGTCCGCCCCTGCAGGGGAGCCAATATTTTTGGCCATTACTGTACATTTCAGCTTACCATTCAGTAGATGCGGCGGCTGCATTCGTTTTCTTTTTAGCTTTTTTTACCTTTCATTTCACCTGGTTATCTGGCCAGTATCATACCTCCTGTATTAGTCCACTCTGGATGAAGAAGCACAGGGGGCATCTTTGGACAGCAGTATTGTCAGTCTGGGGGGAAGGGAATTGTTAGATGTCCTAGCAAATTAGATACAATAACAAATTGAAGCCAAACTCCAGCTAATACTCCCTACTAACTTCACTGCAAAATCACGTCCCATTGACTTCGATCCAAAATTGCATCCCATTGACTTCAATGCAATAACGCCCCCTATTGACTTCAATGCAAAATCGTATCCTATTGTCTTCAATACAAAAATAATCCCTATTGACTTTAATGCATAATCAGTTACAACAAACAGATTTTTTTCCTTTTGGGATTAAAGGTTTTACATAAACAAAAGCTGATCATTATAAGCACCCCTGTCCATTGCAAATGGTTTATCTCACCTTCTAACTGCTACATCTGCAAAAAAGCTTGGTCTTTTGAAAAACAACAGACTTACTGGCCAGATCACCAGATGAAAATAAGGGAAAGAAAGCGTACTCAACTGGCAGACAACACCCCCCTATGCTCAGGCAGTGGACTGTTCCTCTGCATGTCCACATCCAATGCATGAGCTTGCATTGGACTGGATGACATCAGAGGCCATCTGAGTGCTGGAGCATAGGGGAGAAGAGGCTGAAGTGAGAAGAAGCCTGCATGAGCAGAAGATCAAGTAAGTAAAGTGTTTTTCTGGTCCCCCAGATGTAAATGAGTATTACCCTGGCAGTCCCAGTACCCTGATTTTTACTTTCCTCGGAGTTCAGCTTTAAGATAAAATACAAATACATTTATGTCAGAAGATAATGAGAAACTGAAGGCATGACACCCAATTCAAAATATACAATTAAGGTAATGTTTCTGCAGTAGGTAAAATTCACAGGGTCAAAGGATTAATTGAAGAACTAAATGCAAAACCACTGATGGAAGTAAGGCCTCTTGCACACTGCAGCTCGAAAAAGCTCAGTACAGCGTTTTGTTTTTATCCAAGGTAAAATGTAGCCCATTATTTACAATGTGCCCGTGCACACAAGCATGTAAACAAGTGCTGCGTATTGCTCAATTAAAAAAAAAGGAAAATCTGCATTTTTAGTCAATAATGTATGCCGCGTGCATGCAAATGCAATATCAGCATAAATATTCATGAATTTTCCGTAATAATATATTTTGCGCAAAAATGCGCAAATACACACAAAACATATGCCTGGAATTAAGTCCAAAGGAAACAGAGGATCAAACATCAGTACTGTGTGCAAGAGGCCAAAAAGTGACATTAAGTCCTCATGCACACTTGACATTTTTACAGCGGCTGTTTTTGGCTTCTGACATTTTTTTCTTCAGCCAGTAAACCCCCCAGCATGTTATCCTATGTGTCCATACACACAGACTGTAATCAATGTTTTTTGGTAGAAGAAAAACCCAGAACTAGTGGGCTTCTAGAGGAGTTCTTATAGCTGTAAAAACGCTTTAAAAACGCTGAAAAACGCAGCAAACCAGCATTTTTGGACTTTATTTGACCAAAAAAATATTTTTTTTGTGGTAAAGAAAACACAAACGTGGGAAAACGCAGCTAAATGCGGAAAAACGATGAATGGGCTGCTGTGCTCGAGCAAACACGGGCCACATGGCCTATACTAGCGTGAACCTAGGCTCATACAAAGTTCCAGAAAATTGTTTCTGAGTGGAGAAAGCTGTGTTTTTGGCTTTCTCTGGATCCTGTAGTCCCGGATTAGGGTCTGGAGCTTGAAGGTTCTAAAGTGTCTTGGGTGGGATGGAACCTTCAATCCTGTGTCCAGATTTTACTGCATGTCTGCAGCCTGTGTGAGTACAAAGGTTTGTGGGGTCCTTATACACTTAAGCCTGAGGATAGCTCAGAGCTCCCAGTTTGGAGACATCTCCCACATTGGAGACAGATGGTCTCCCTTCTCTGATGGTCAGAGAAGCCCCAGCCAGCAGTCAAGAGACAGGAGGTCTCAATCAGGTGTCAGAGATACCCCAACCAGTAGCCAGGAAGTCTGGTCCCAGGAGTAAGGTCGGCTCCTATCAGGGTGTCAGGAAAACGCCTATCCAGAGGCAAGGAGTGGACCATGTAGTGGAGCGCTGCAACTAAAGGCTAATGCAAGCCATAGATGGGTTGAAAAACCGGCCGTTTTAAAAAAAAAAAAAAAAAATCGGTCGTTCAACAGGCCGACGTTACCACCAACGGTAAAAAAAATTGCCCGATTTTCGTCCCGTCTACGGCCGGCATTTAATTACTTCTGTCCCTGCAGAGAGTTCCGCTATTATATTTGACATGAAAAAGTATTGTGGTTGCAACAATGTATCCATTTGTATCCATTTCAGATACAGATGTTTTTATTCGGATACAAATAGATACATTGTTGCAACCGCAATACTTTTTCATGTCAAATATAATAGCGGACTGGAATTCTTCTTCTTTTCTTTCTTCTTGCAGGCCACGGCTCATGCGCAGATTTTTTATCAGTAAAAAGATCGGCCGATTTGCCTATCATTGCCGGGAAAATCAGCCGATCGGCAAAATCAGATGATTTTTTTTTTTCCCAACTTCACAGATAAAAAAAATGTGCCAAAACCCCCAAAAACAGCCGACCAATTAGCCGATTATTGGTGCAAAAACCAGACGATTTTTTTTTTTTTTCTCGGTGGAAAAATCAGCTGATTTTCGACCCTTCTATGGCCTGCATTAGGGTTCATGTACATTAAAGCTGATAAACTCACATTTAGGAGCTTTTCTGCATTTTTTTTTTTCCAGCAGCCCCTGAACTCTCCCAAATGTTTTCCTATGTGTCCATGTACACTATGTCATTTACAGTCGTTTACAGGCAGTTGAGTTTGCAGTCGTTTTTTTTTACTGCACCAAACTTGCGTTCAGGAGTAGATTTTATCAGCGTTTCAAATGCCAAATGCTTGTAACTGCGTGTAAACACGGCTAACCGCGTTTATCAGCATTTGCATTCAGAAGCATTTTTTAACTGTTCCGTGTCCATATGCTGTCCAGAGCCTTTTTTCATTATCAGAAATGCATGCAAAGCGTTTTCCATGTATTCAAATGGACCCGGTACACCAGCGCAGTCAGTTCCAGGTTTCGCATGAAGGAAAAAATGTTAGAACGTGCCGCATTATGCTCATGATGGGATCCATAGTGAATACAACCAGAAAAGACAGGTCATCTCAACACATACTGCTCTCTCTGCTTCTGCTCTCTCTATTTCTCTCAAAATGTCTGAAATAGTTAATTTTTTTACTGTTTTTCAGTGCATTCTGGGCATTTTGGTCTCCTGAGGTTATCTTTAACCTCTAGCCTACAGGCACTTATACCCCCTTCCTGCCCAGGCCAATTTCCAGCTTTCAGCGTTGTCGCGCTTTGAATGAAAATTGCGCAGTCATGCAACACTGTACCCATATGAAATTTTTATAATTTTTTGTGACAGATAGAGCTTTATTTTGGTGGTATTTAATCACCTCTGGGTTTTTATTTTTTCTTAAACTAAAAACAACTAAAAATTTTTGAAAAAAAAAAAGTTTTTTCTTAGTTTTTGTTATAAAATTTTGTAAACAATTATTTTTCTCCTTCACTGATATGCGCTAATGAGGCTGCAGTGATGGGCACTGATAGGCTGCACTGATGGACAGTGATAGGTGGCACTGATGAGGAGGCACTGGTAGGTGGCACTGATGGACATTGACAGGCATCACTGATAGGCAGCACTGATAGGCAGCACTGACTGGCACTGATAGGTGGCACTGATTTGCAGCCCTGATAGGTGGCACTGATTGGCATTGATAGGTGGCGCTGACTGGCACTGATGGGTGACACTGAAAGGCAGCTCAGATGGGCACTGATATGTGGCATTGATGTGCACTGGTAGGCACTGATATGTGGCATTGATGTGGCACTGATGGGCACTGGCATGATGCGCTGATGAGCACTGACACAAGGCACTGATGGACACTGACAGGTGGCACTGCTGGGGCTACACTGATCATCAGTGCCCTGCTGATCAGTGTTCATGCCCCCTTTGCGGAAAGCCGATTACCGGCTCTCCTCTCGAGCTGTCAATGTGACAGCTCGATAGGAGCGAAATGCCATTAACTGGCATTTCCCTGTTTACATGTGATCAGCTGTGATTGGACACAGCTGATCACATGACCGAGCCGACATCTTAGGCTCTTTCCGTGATCGGTGATCCATTGTGTCCAATGGACACAGCGCACCGCCGATCGCCGCGCTCCCTGAGCCGCACATGCGCGGCGAGAATGGGAGGACGTCATATGACGTCCTCCCAGAATGAGAGAACCACCTTGCGTCTGTCATATTACTATATGGCGGGCGGGAGGTGGTTAAAAAAAGCTTCTAACCGCAAACGCGCATAAACGCGGTATGCAAACGTGGCTAAACAGACATTTTTTTAACCTACATTCTCCAGCAGTCAGTTTCCATCGTTCAGAAGTGTTTTCCAAACGTCCTGTGTACATGGAGCCTTAGAGAGCCAAGTGAACCAGGAGAGCTGGGCAACACAGTCAGAGGGACTAGTACGAAGAGCAGTAGTGCTAACAAGGAAGCCAGGTGGCTCGGCATTTTCAGCTGACTTTGTATGTTCATGGTAGAAAACCCTGCCTGAGCAACTGATGTTTATGTGAACCTTCCGTTTTGTTCAATAAATGTTGGCTTCCATGCCCCAAAATCCCATTTGGACTGGTACAACCCATTGGGAAAAAGCATTGGCGCCATGAGTATAATCACCCCAGTACCGATTTATGAGTGGACACATATGGGGGTCATTTACTAAAACTGGAGAGTGCAAAATCTGGTGCAGCTCTGCATAGAAACCAATCGGCTTCCATGTTTTATTGCCAAAGCTTAATTGAACAAGCTGAAGTTTTAAGCTGATTGGCTGCCATGCACAGCTGGACCAGATTCTCAGCGCTCTTGTTCTAGCAAATCCCCTTAGTGATTACCCATACAAACACTACTCTTTTTATTTCTTTTGATGAGTAGCTTTGCTAAATATTTATTTGTTTCTCTCTTTTCTTCTCCATGTAAACCTGCATCGGTCACAATTGCTACCACCTTGTGATTATTTTCCTACAGCACCGTTATCCATCTCCCCCTCCAGAGTGACAGCTTGGCTTAGCTGAACTGTCATGTATACTTGCCTGGAGATGGGAGGGGGGGCAGTCAGATTGTTCCTGCATGTTCAGCCACATCTGGATGACTTCTTTGGCACCTTTACAGGAATCTGACTACGGCAATGGCTGAATTTTAAGTAGGACCATTAAGAGTCTCCTGCCTCTTTCTCCGTACACTTCATTTCTTCCCCGAAATAATGAAACATTCTGCTTTAAATGCCTCCATGGGAACGTTAAATACGTGTAGACAGCAGAATGGTTTCTGTTCCTCCAGCAGAAGATAAAGACACATATATCCCAAGCAGTGGTCCATACTTGGCTCTGTTGACTTTACACTGGCACTGCCAACGGCCCATTAGAGGTCAAAGAAATATATGACAGTTGTAAAGATGTCAATGCAAAAGGGACATAAAGCCGGGATATGATCACTGTGTGTTGGCTTCTGTAAATAATGCATGAATAATCAGCAAAGATCCTTAGGGATGACTAGTGAGACATTTCCCTTCATTTGCATTGCATTAGGACACAGTTACAGTAGATGGGTTTTAGAGCGTAGCTTACAGAAAACAACGCCATGCAAATTTAGAAGAAACCCTTTACTTCACTTGTGTATTCCTCCAAAAGTCTTGAAATATTTTGCATGTGGGATAATAAAATTGCAAGGGACGTGTCTTGAAAATTAATCTTAGGTATGAATTGGAAGCATCTTTGCTTTATAATTGGGGGAGATATTCCAAATTATAACCTCTTTTACCAAGCTGATATTAACCCCTGTATGTAGGCTTGCTTGTGTTAATCGCCTTTGGCATGTATATTTTTTTATGTATGAACCTAAAAACTGTGTGTTTTTAAGCAATATGTTATTATAATAAACCCAAGAATAAAAATGGAATATATTGCAGTTAACCCCAAGTTCCACAAATTTCAGGCACTAGGGATGGCGACTGGAAATAGCATTCTGGAACCTGGGTTCACACATTGCCTCCCCCTGACTTCAACGCAAAATCGTGTTCCATTGACTTCAAAGCAAAATCGTGTCCCATTGACTTTAATGCAAAAACACTCCCTACTAACTTCACCGCAAAATCATGTCCCATTGACTTCGATGCAAAATTGCATCCCATTGACTTAGACGCAATAACACCCCCCTACTGACTTCAATGCAAAATTGTGTACTATTGTCTTCAATACAAAAATTCTCCCTATTGCCTTTAATGCAAAATTATGTCCCATTGTCTTCAATGCAAAAATGCCCGTTGACTTCGATGCAAAATAATGTCCCATTGACTTCAATGCAAAACCGCCTCCCATTGACTTAATGCAAAAACCGCCTCCCATTGACTTTGATGCAAAAATGCCTCCCATTGACTTCAAAGCATAAATGCCTCCCATTAACTTCAATGCAAAATCCTGTCAATAGCAATCCTATATTAACACTTATCTCGCAATCCACTCTACTCTATCACTTGGAATACACTGCTACAAAATCTCGCACAGGACCCTTTTCGTAATGGCACACAAAACACAATACTTGTGGATCAGATCTATGGAAACCACCTCAATAGAAACACACAATATCTAGGCTGTGATGAGAATCTGTGCATTTGAAAATACATCCAGAATCGCATATGTGTGATCCAGAGCAGTTCTATTCACACCTGGGCATTTTAGGATCGTGGCAGAATCGCTGTGATCACAAAACGTAGGTTCAGGTGCCATTCATTTCAAGGGCACCTTAAACGTGGTGCGGTTTTGTCTTGATTGTCTTGCGGCAAATTGCATCATGTGAAGCTTGTCGCCCAAAAGTTGCCTTGCCCTGGGTGCTAAAAAAACACACGCAACGCTAAAAAAACCTGGCTCTTAACGTTTTTAGCTGGATCCTAAATTCAAAGCAAATTTGTCAAGCCCTGACTTAGCCAATCTGTAAAGGAGAAGGAGGGCCAAAGCTCCGTTGGTCTGCCTGCCGCTGAGAGCCTGAGCCAGCTGTTTCCACCCCTTGCAGTCTGGTGCTCCAATGAGCACTGGAAGGGCAGAGCAGAGAGCGGTGACTGACAGTCAGCGCTCTCTGCTCAGAGTGGACCTGAAAACTGAGTGATCATCGGTCTTTGATCACTCAGTTTTAAGTGTAGAGCCGGCTAGGGACAGCATCAGTATCAGACCGATGCTGCAGCCATCTAAGTAAGTGTGAGTTTGTTTTTTGTGATTCCCGCACTTTTAAGGGGCAATTCGTGACCAGTGTTTTTCCGCACTAGAAGAACACAAATCCCTGCTAGGACACAAAGAAAACAATTGTTACTGCCCTGTTACTGCCCTGCAGTGATCTGCGCTAAAATGCAGACACGCTGCATTTTATTGCAGCGTTCTGAGCTGATTGACATGTCACTGTACAGCAGCCCACCATGCAGCTGTACAGTGACATGAATGAAGTGTCACTTTTGCACACTTCAAATAAAGCTGAATGGAAAAAAATGGAACTTGGTGATGCACCAAAATATATATCACACTTCCCCCTACCACCAGCTCACTGCAGCTACAACAGACAGCTGCTGCACAGTAAACTGTTGCGGTACACTGTGTGGCAGCTGTCCATTTATATGTGAACGGGCCCTAAAGGTTTACTCCATCTTTTACACCATGTTACACCTGTATTTAGAGTGTACCATGTAACATGGACTAGGTGGACAGCATGATGTCCCTGCCCCACCTCTCCACCTCATTCAATCAGAGAACCCTTTTCATTCACTGCGAAAATGCAAAGCATTCTCTGAATGGCACCCGTGCTGAGCAGCCAACCTCCCGTGTTCACAATGCAGCAGAGCAGTCACTCGACACAGGAAGCTAGTGGAGATCACTGGTGTAAGGGTGTCTACTAAAGTGATTTCCAGCTTCTAGAGGGATCCCACAGGTATGGTATATTCATAATCACATTGCTCTAAGCTGGACAAATGTAACTATAAAAAAAATATTCATATCCAATGGATTTCAAGTAAAGCAGGCATAGATGGCCTAGATAATAATATCATCTTTTTCAAACCTTGTAGCAGGGACATAGCCCTATTTTCATGTTTCAGGCTTAAAGTCTTCAGTCTGAGTTGCCCTTTTTTAGGGCCAAGATACCACGACTAGATTCTCTTGACACACATATCTCATTCTGGTTATTCTCACATTTTTCTACAAAGATATACAGTACTGTGCAAACGATATAGGTGGGTGTGAAGAAATACTGTAACGTAAGAATTACTTTTATCAATTTACAAAATGTGAAGTGAGTGAACAGAAGAGAAATGTAAACCAAATCAATATTGGGTGTGACCAGGGGCGGACTGACCATTTGGAAACTCGGGCCCGACGGCCCGGGGTTAGTAGGGGGCCCCATGAGATGCCCCTGGTACCTTTTTCATAGGCTTTTTTGAGTTTGGGCAAGGACACAGGGCCCCATGATCCCCTATTGCCCGGGGGCCCCATGAGTTGTCAGCCCACCCCTGGGTGTGACTATACTTTGGCTTCAAAACAGAATTAGTACAATTCATCACACTCTTTTGAAGAAGTAAAATGAAATTGGCAATGCCGAGGACTGTAGATGCAGTGGTCCGACAAAGAAACTTAATGCAGATAAAAGACACATCATGCTTGCTTCCTTTGACATCGGAAGATGTCCAGCGTTGCCATCGGTCAAGAACTGGTGAAAGCCAGTGGGACCCAGGTATACTCATCTACTGACCAGAGATGTCTGGCCAGAAGTGGTCTTCATGGAAGGTCGCGACCAAAAAGCCATACCTCCAACATGGCAGCAAAGCTAAGTGACTCAACTATGCACGAAAACATAGGAACTAGGGTGCAGAAAAGTGGTGGACTGATGGGTCAAAATGTTAAATATTTTGCTGTAGGAGGATGCAGTTTGTTGGCTGAAGGGCTGGAGAGCAGTACAATAGTTAGTGTCAGCAGGCAACAGTGAAGAATGGTGGAGGTTCCTTTTGATGTTTTGGGCTGCATTTCTTCAAATGCAGCTGGAGATTTGTTCAAGATCAAGGGTGTCCTCAATGAAGAGAAATACATGCAGATACCTATCCATCATGCAATACCAACAGGAAGGCATGTAATTGGCCCCAAGTTTATTCTGCAGCAGGACAATGACCCCAAACATACAGCCAGTGTCATTAAGAATGATCTTCAGTGTAAAGAAGAAGAAGTCTTGGAAAGTGATGGTTTGGCTGTGAGACACAGCCTCAATCTCATCATGGAGTCTGTCTAGAATTACATGAAGAGACAGAAGGATATGAAGCAGCCTACGACAGAAGATCTGTAGTTGGTTCTTCAAGATGTCCAGAACAACCTATCTGTCGAGTTCCTTCAAAAACTGTGTGCAAGTATACCTAGAAGAATTGATGCTGTTTTGAAGCCAAAGGGTGGTCACACCAAATATTGACTTGATTGGTATTTCTCTTCTGTTCATTTACAGTGGGGAAATAATTATTTGATCCCCTGCAGATTTTGTAAATTTGCCCACCTAAAAATAAATGAAGGGTTTATTATTTTTTATCATAGATGTATTTTAAATGACAGAGACAGAATATCAACCACAAATCCAGGAACAGCACATGATACAAAAATTATAAATTGAGTTGCAGTTCAGTAAGTAAAATAAATATTTGAACCCCTACCAACCAACAATAATTCTGGCTCCCACAGACTGGCTATGTGCTCATGCGGTACACAGGTTAGTTCTGTCAATTTAAGAAGGTGCTCCTAACGACAACTCGTTATGTGTATAAAAGACACCTATATACAGAATCTCTTTATTGGGCACCACAATGGGCAAGACCAAAGAGCTGTCAAAGGACATCAGGGACAAGATTGTGGACCTGCAAAAGGCTGGAATGGGCTACAAGACCATCAGCAAGAAGATTGGTGAGAAGGAGACAACTGTTGGAGCAGTTACTCGCAAATGGAAAAAATACAAAATAACCATCAATAGCCCTCAGTCTGGATCTCCATGCAAGATTTCGCCTCCTGGGGTAAGGATGATCATGAGTAAAGTGAGGGATCAGCCCAGAACTACACGGGAGGAGCTTGTGAATGATCTCAAAGCAGTTGGAACCACAGTCACCAAATAAACCATTGGTAACACAAAACGCCGCCATGAATTAAAATCCTGCAGCGCCCGCAAGGTCCCCCTCTTAAAGAAGGCATATGTACAGACCCGTCTGAAAATTGCTAATGAACATCTAAATGATTCAGAGAAAGATTGTGAGAGAGTCCTGTGGCCGGATGAGACCAAAATTGAGCTCTTTGGCAATAACTGGACTCAACATGTTTGGAGAAAGAAAAACGCTGACTATGACCCTAAGAACACCATCCCTACAGTCAAGCATGGAGGTGGAAACGTTATGCTTTGGGTCTGTTTCTTCGCTAAAGGTACAGGCCGACTTTGCAGCATTGAGGGGCCAATGGAGTGGCCATGTATTGTAAATTGTAAAATCTTGGATGAGAACCTTCTTCCCTCAGCCAGAACACTGAAGATGGGTTATGGATGGGTCTTCCAATGACCCAAAATATACCACCAAGGCAACAAAGGAGTGGCTCAAGAAGAAGCACATTAAGGTCACGGAATGCCCTTGCCAGTCTCCAGACCTTAATCCTATAGAAAATTTATGGAGGGAGCTGAAACTTCGAGTTGCCAAGTGACAGCCAAGCTACCTTAAGGATTTAAAGAAGATCTGTAAACAAGAGTTGACCAAGGGTAAACAAGCATGGAGCAAGGGTTTCTCCACCAAGTACTAAATCATGTTTTGCTTAGGGATCAAATACCTATTTTACTCACTGAACTGCAACTCAATTTATAACATTTGTATCGTGTTTTCATTTAACCACTTGCCAACCACACTACAGTGTGGTTGTCCATTTCTGGGAGGGCGTCATATGACGTCCTCCCAGAACGCGCCCTCCTCGGGGGTGCGCACCCGGCAATCTCCATTATGGGTGTCCTATGGACACAGCTGATCACATGATGTGGTAAAAGGCCATCACAGGGGCTGTTTACAGTGATCAGCTGTGTCCAATGACACAGCGATCACCGGCAATTGTCAGAGGACGGATCGGAACCGATTATCAATGCCCTGATGATCAGTGCCCTGATGATCAGCGCCCACCAGTGCCCCCCACCAGTGCTGCCCACCTGTACCCAGCAGTGCCGCCCAGCAGTGCCACCCACCTGTGTCCATCAGTGCCTAGTACTGCCACCCACCTCTGCCCAGCGGTGCCACCCACCAGTGCTCAGCAGTGCCCCCTATCAGTGCAACCCATCTGTGCTGCCCAGCAGTGCCACCCATGTGTGCCCAGCAGTGCTTCCAGTCATTGCCCAGCAGTGCTACCAGTCAATGCCGTCAGTGCCACCCATCAGAACTGCCCATCTGTGCCGCCTATCAGTGCCGCCTATCAGTGCCCATCATTGTTGCATATCAGTATAACATCATCAGTGCCACCTCATCAGTGCTAGCTCATCAGTGCATATCAGTGCTGCCTATCCGTGCCGCCTATCAGTGCAGCCTCATGAACGCACATCAGTGAAGGAGAAAAATTACCTGTTGACAAAATTTTAATTTAATTTAAATAGAAACAAAGAAAAAATTTTTATTTTTCAAATTTTGTGTTTTTTTTTGTTTATAGCGCAAAAAGTAAAACAATGATAAAAAATGTCATATGGGTACAGTGTTGTATGACCGCACAATTGTCATTCAAAGTGCGACAGCGCTGAAAATTGGCCTGGGCACGAAGGGGGTATAAGTGCCCGGTAGGCAAGTGGTCAAAGTACACCTATAATAAATTAAAGTTATAGACCCTTCATTTCTTTGTAAGTGGGCAAACTTACAAAATCTGCAGGGGATCAAATAATTATTTCCCCCACTGTACTTTCGATTTTGTTAATTGATAAAAAATAAATTATTAACACTTCAATTTCTGAAAGTATTCTTAATTGACAGCATTTTTTCACAACTGCCTATAACTTTTTGTACAGTACTGTATATGTTCTCTTTGATTTATTTCCTGTAATCAGGAGAGGAGATGTTAGTAGTGCCTTCTTCATGCACACATTTCGGAGTGACTGGCTAGAACAGCGCTGCTCCCGATGATACGAATGGCCCAGTTCTGCTCCAGTGCTTCAATTCAAACACGTTCCCAGCAAACAAGCCGAGGCTGCAATGATTCAGCAGGGACACGGTTAGCCCATCTAGGCCTTTTAGCAGGGCTGAATATGACTCATTCCGCGTGGCATTTACACGACGTATAATCGGCGGCATTTCATTTCCTACCCGGAATATGATTCACGCAATTTTATCCTAAAAGACAGTCGCGCTTGTATCTCTTGGCATCAAAGGTAATTGAAATGACACTGATATACTGAGCTGACCTGTAAGTGCGTCATTGAGTATATCTGGACAAAGTGTAGTATATAATGAGCTGGTCTTCTTTAAAGAAATGCAATTTATTCTTTTTTATTACTTTCTTCAGGATGAACTGTTGTATTTTTGTAGCTGATCTATTTTCTGATAAAATGATCTTTATCTTTTCTGTGATGTCATCTCTTCCATTCAGAAATCACAGCTATGCCCGTGCACCAGGAGGCGGTAGTACAGAACCCCCGACGTTACTGCTGACTTTTCTATTGGTTGAACTGTATGAACCTTTTTTCAACCACACTAATTATATTTTACTTTCTTTTACAACAAAATACAATTCCCATCGTGCAATGGGGATAATAGCAGCAAAGGGTGCAAATGCGGGGGGCAATGGGCAGGACAGACCAGAAGTCTCCTGGCCTGTTGGTCATGGGCAGGTCAGACCGGGGATCTGAGGTCTGGAGTCCTACCACTACAGCAAGCAATGACTTAATTACGTCACTGCTCACTTATGAATGAATTTCACGGGGTGTTACTAGACTGATGGCCGAGGGGAGAGCTGGGATAAAGGCTACCGATCTTATGACATTGAAAGACCCCTTATTATGCAAGACGTGATTTCTTAGTGGGTGACTACATTGAAATGAAGAAATTGCTTAAAGTGGTTGTAAACCCTTACATATAACCAGAAAATGACTGGCCTCAGGTGATACAGAGATTAAACAAATCCCTCTACATATGTTGCACCTGTTTATCTGCAGCCTTCCCTCCTCTATAGCTATTCAGAATGTATACAGCTTGTCTGAGCTTTCAGAAAGCAGGGGGTGGAGAGCTGAAGTTACCCTCTGAAGAGCTCAGTGAGGAGAGCTCTGAGAGTTGATAAGAGGGAAGAGACACACCCCCTTAACACAGCTCACAGGAACTGAGTTGAAGCTATCAGTCACAGGCTGTGTGTTGGAGCTCCCTCCCTGTCACCTTTTTAGCTTTTGGTGTCAGGAAAACATGTCAAAAGTGACACATGCAGATAGCAGAATAACAAGGCTGTGGATTGAAATGACACTTAGTGCTCTGGACTGAGTCAAGTATACACTATAGAGGGATATGCTTTGTTCACATTTTTTGTCTGAGGTTTACAACCACTTGAAATGTAAGAAATTACCTGTTCAGATATTTTTTACATTCTGCACGGAGTTCAGCTTCCACTGATCATGTGTGCAATGCTTTGGAAACAATATTATTTTTTTCCTGTAAAACAATGTGCATTTATTATTTTTTTCCTAATGGTGAACTTAGCCTTTACTATATCCTGGGAAATCAAGCGAGTCTTCAAATATTACCTTTTACCCTTTTCCTTGTTGTTGATGCCAAATCTGCCAATTCAGATTTCCTGGCTGATGGTTAATAAAGTTATCTGCAGAAACAAGACTCTTCGGAAAGAGTTGAATCAATAAAGACCACCTCTCCAGATGTGTATTCTACAGCCCCAAATCTCCAGCAGGGGTGCAAGTACGCTTAAGCTGGCCATAGATGGTTCGAATCTTGGCCGGTTCAGCAGGGACCAGTCAAGATTCGAGTCATCTATGGGCAGGCTGATCGTACCAAAGTCGATAGTTGTATGACTTGGGTACAACCAGCATGGCCGCTAACTATTATAGTCGCTAGCAGTATTCACTGTGTTCTCTCCTGGTGGGGACGGCTCTGCCCACTGGAAAAACACAACTGCTCCATGGGAGGTAATCAATCAATTTTCTTTCCTGGAAACACTGGAAAAATTTGAAATTTTCCGCTGTTGCTCCCAGTCCTCAGTACAACTACTGGCCTATAGTTGCAAAAGGCACTGCTATGCTACAAGTGCATACAGCCTAGCACCCTGGGAAGAGAATGTTTAAAGGACTCCTGCCATGCACCTATCCCTGGCTGATGTCATGCATATAATTAGAATTAAAAGGGGGTCAGACCCCATCCTGGCAACACCCTCCACGGTTCTGATACTGGCAGACCACCACCCTGGACCTATATCGCAACCTGTGGCTAACTCATCATAATTACATAGTTAGTCTGGCTGACAAAAAGACAAAAGTCCATCAAGTTCAACCATTAAAAAAAAAAGTTATAATCCTATATCCACAGTTGATCCAGAGGAAGGCAAAAAAACCCAGCAAAGCATGATCCAATTTGCTCCTGCAGGGAAAAAAAATCCTTCCTGATCCCCCGAGAGGCAATTGGATATTCCCTGGATCAACTTTACCTACAAATGTTAGTATCCGTTTATATTCTGTGTATCTAAGAAACAATCCAGGCCTTTTCTGAATCAATCCACTGAGCTGGCCAGAACCAACTCTTGATTTATACATGGAGATCATATCCCCCCTTAATCTCCTCTTCTCAAGAGAGAATAAATTCAGTTCCTCTAATCTTTCCTCATAGCTGAGCTCCTCCATGCCTCTTATCAGTTTGGTTGCCCTTCTCCGTACTTTCTCCAGTTCCCCAATGTTCTTTTTGTGAATTGGTGGTCAAAACTGAACTGCATATTCCAGATGCACTATGTACCAAGGTAAGTGCCTAAGTAGCATCCAGTGCCCTCAGCAACATTACAGGCTGATCCCACTTTGTCAGTCCCGCAGGGTCTGGGTACGGTCCTCCAAGCCACAGCTAAAAGACTTAACCAATGCACAAAATGCAGTAGAAGCCATAGTGGCTATAGTGCAGCCTAGGATCTTAATAGAATCATCTTGCTAGAAGAATCATTAAAAGAGAAAGACACCTCCATAGGAAGCAGGTAAGCTTCTCTTAGTGGAGAGAAAAGGTCCATCACCTAAGAACACTTTGGTGCAAAGTCCATCTACAGAGACAGGCAGAGTGCCTGTCTTTGTACACGGTGAAACAGGGTAGCATATTTGCCATATGACCCCCACCTGTCACTGGTTGTCAAAGGTGCTGATGGCTTCACAGTCAACAGGCCCCTAGCAACCACTGATACTGAAAATGAATGTAGCCTAGTAGGGAAGCTGAGGGACTAGTTTCCCATCAGGTCCATTCTCTACTTATGATTGGCAGTTGGTGGATTCCATAGACTAAAGAAGTCTGTATATTGGCTATGGAATCTGCCCACTGCCTGCTGTTAATCACAAGGGAAGCAGATCTGATGGGGTACTAGTGTCCCCGAATCCTCATCAGGCTTCAATCACCTAAGTACAACATTCCTCAGCCTTTGTACTGTCTGTGTGATAGGTGCAGCATCGGGAGGGAGCTAGTATGGATACTCTGGCCTCATTGCACCCCTGCACGCGATACTTACCCCAAATTTATGTATCTGGTTCAAAAACGTTTTAGGGCAAGCACTGACATTTATTGTGCAAAGGCACAGTGTAAGTCCAAAGAGTGTCCTAGACTAGGGGTCTCCAAAACTTTCTAAACAAAGGGCCAGTTTATTATCCTTCACAGTGCCCCATCATTGGTGTCAATGAGAGGAATAGTACCGCATCACTGGTGTCAGTGGGAGGAATAATGTCCCATCATTATTGTTAGTGGGAGAAATCATGACCCATGAATTTTGTCAGTGGGAGAATAGTAGTGGCCCGTCATTGGTGTCAGTGGGAAGAATAGTGTCTCATCACTGGTGTCAGTGGAAGGAATAGTGCCCCACTGTTGGTGTCAGTGGCATTATTTATGCCCCATTGTTAATGTTAGTGAGAGGAATACTACTCCATCATTGGTGTCAGTGGGAGGAATAGTGCCGCATGATTGGTGTCAGTGGGAGGAATTGTACCCAGTCATTATTGTCAGTAGGAGTAATAGTACCCCATCATTGGTGTCAGTGGGAAGAATAGTACCCTGTCGTTGGTGTCAGTGAGAGGAATAGCACCCCATCATTTGTGTCAGTGGTAGGAATGATACCCCATCATTGGTGTCAGTGGTAGGAGCAGTGCCCCATCATTAGTGTCATTGGGAGGAATAGTGCCCCATCACTGGTCTCAGTAGTAGGAGTAGTGCCCCATCACTGGTGTCAGTGGGAGGGAAGGTACCCCACCATTGGTGTCATTGGGAGGAATAGTGCCAAATCATTGGTGTCAGTGGTAGGAGTAGTGCCCCATCATTAGTGTCATTGGGAGGAATAGTGCCCCACTAGTCACAGTGGGAGGTCTCAGTGGGAGAATAGTGCCCCATCATTGGTGTCAGTGGGAGGAAAGGAACCCCGCCATTGGTGTCATTGGGAGGAATAGTGTCCTATCATTGGTTTCAGTGGGAGCAATAGTGCCCCAAGAGCCAGATAAAGGCAAACATAGGGCCGCATCTGGCCTCGGGGCCAAAGTTTGGAGACCACCATCCTAGACATTTATTATGAGATCCCCATGGTGGGTTTTTGCAGGGAATGCGGCTGATCCACCCTCCCTACAGACAAGAACTCAGACCTCCACATTGCCATGCCCTGCACCACCTCCCTCCACCTGTGAATTTGACCTGGGCTTAGAAGTGCCTGCCAAGCATCAGTGCATCCTCAAAGCCAGACCATACTTGACAATCCCGGAACACTGGAACTGAACCGAGAGTTACCGATCGCTATAACCTTCGCCGCACAGGCACAGCCTCTTGTAAATAAACATTTAAAATGGAAAGTTGATCCTCAGAATGTCCTGATTTGTTTCCTGAGTATAAAAATCAGCAGAAACTAGTCTGGAGACAAAGTGCTCATTATTTCTGTTGAAAATTTTGCTTAAAAGCAATTGCAGTTATTATGTTTATTTCAAAAGGACATCGCTAAAGATGCCATGTGAAATGCGCCTTTCTGGCTTTCTGCCCAGAATAATACAACAAAAGGGTAACAAGACATTCACCAACATTAAACCTGACACAAACCGCTACTGTTACTATGGCGACAGTTACCCAGATTAAAGTGAGTAAGCAGAATGATCACATGAGCCTGAATAAATAGCTGAAATACCTCTTAGTATACTATATTCTCAGCAATGTTATGTGTTTGGCAAAAGTAGCGATTCTTAACCGCTTGCCACCCAGGCCAATCCTGACATTTCACTCATACATGTAAAAAAAAAAAATAAATCATTTTTTTTTAACTTTAATTAGAATCCCCTAAACATTATATATTTTGTAAGCAGAGGCCCTTGAGAATAAAATGGTGGGTGTTGCAATTTTTACGTCACGGTATTTGCGCAGTGGCATTTCAAACGCAAACTTTTTGGGGAAAAAATACACTTTAACCACTTCAAGTCCAGATAATTTCACCCCCTTCCTGTCCAGGCCAATTTTCAGCTTTCAGAGCTATCACACTTTGAATGACAATTGCGCGGTCATGCAACACTGTACCCATATGAATGTTTTAGCATTTTGTTTCAGACAGATAAAACTTTATTTTGGTGGTATTTATTCAACACTGGGATTTTTATTTTCTTGCTATATAAATGAAAAAGTCCAAAAATTTTGAAAAAAAAATTTTCTTATAAGAATTTTGCAAATAAATAATCTTTCTACATAAATCTTGGCCAAAATGTATTCAGCTATCTTCTTAGTAAGAAAAGGGGTGCTGTTGCGCTTAGAAAAAGAATGACATATATGTGAGAGAATAGACCATATATAAGATACCTATATAGCAGCAGTCATAAGTGTGAATTTCTAAGCACAAAATCTGAAATATTTCAAAAATGGACCGTGCTAAGGTCACAAATTGACTACATAAACTGTGCAATCTTTGAAGTGATAACAATGAGCAATCCGTATGTAGTATCACCGTTAAAGATACCGTTGCACCAATATTCACATGTTGGGACTGAATATTAATATTGTATTTGCATTTTGCTCATTATTATCACTTC